CTGACTCCTAAATGTTTCTGACTTCACTCTCCCTGGCCCATTTGCTGTAGGCTAGGAGCCATTTATTGCCTTCATAGCCTCGTTTCCTACCAATGTCTTGTCTCATCCTCTCACAGTATTGTTACTTCATTATTAATCTCTTTGTTTAGCCATTTAATATTTTGTACTATAATTATTATTTTTTCATTTCCTTGTGACTGAGGGCAGGGTCTGTCTTGCTTAAAGTAATTCCATTACCCAGCAAGGAGCTTGGCATTTCCTTAACATTTAGTAAATGTCTAATCAATGTCCTCATATGTGTATTTAGGTTGGTCACAAATAGAAAAGTGTGATTTTTTTTTTTTTAAGTAGTCTCATTTTCTGAGTGTGCTTAGCTGGTGGCCACTGTACTAGGAGCTGTATAGCTCCAAGTATCACAATGGTGTTTGCAACTGAGAAACATCTATTTTTCCCCTCCAGATACATCTAGGGGTATTTCCTTCCACATCATCTTCATTCATGAAAGCCCCTAACTAATGATGGGGAATATGAAAGTTTTCATTAGAAAAGACATGGAAGTACCAATACTTTTGTTTCCTACACAGTAGTAGTAGTACAGTAGCCTCCAGCTAAGCACATCGAGAGAATCAGATTACTAAAAGCATCTGTAAGACTGGGTTGATAGCTCAGTGGATGTGTCAGTACCTGCAATGGTGATTTCATTAAGAAGAAAAAAGACATTTGAGATTTTTACAGATAAGACATTTCTGGGCAATATTTCTATTAACTTCTTGTGATAAAAATTCATTCTAAGCAATTTTTATTCTTTTAAATAAAAATAGATAATGGAAACATGTTTGTAGAACATTATGCAAGATGTGAATTTTAAAGAATCCTCATTTGTAACTTCCATTAAACTTTAGGAAACTTCTTATGGATCTTTATTTTAACTGAAAGGTGATTACCAATTGAGGCTTAGAATACATTAATTTGTCGTGCAGATAAACATTAGAAAAAATGTATATGCTGTGATAGATTTTACTTGCATGGAATTGAAACTGAGTTTTAGTTCCACAGGTAAGCTGTCTCCCTGGTCTTGAATGGATCACTTGATCTGTCTTTACATATTTACAAATTTAGGCATCTGTAAAATGAATAATAATTGATCATGCTGTTAAGGGGTTTCCCAGGTGGGGCTAGTGGTAAAGAACCCACCTGCCAGTGCAAGAGACATAAGAGATGCGGGTTTGATACCTGGGTTGGGAAGATCCCCTGGAGGAACGCATGACAACTCACTCCAGTATTCTTGCGTGGAGAATCCCATGGACAAAGGAGCCTGGTGGGCTTCAGTTCGTAAGATTGCAAAAAACCACAACTGAAGCGACATAGCATGCGCACACACATGCTGTTAAGACCTTTTAAAGACTATAGAATAGTACTTTTTGGTGGATGTTATTACCTTTTCTAATCTCTTTGTTACAGTGGAAGCCCCTTTTTGTCTAGAAATGTGTGTTTAACGTAGAGATGGCTCCATAATTTTAAAATCTCTTTCCAAGATATACTTTGTCCCTATAGTTAAGCAGAAATGAATTTCCATAAGCTTTGGTTATAAATGAAGAGCTAAAAGGGTTTTTTAAAAAATTAATTATTTTGGCTGCACTGGGTCTTAATTGCAGCATATGGGATCTTTGATCTTTCATTGCAGCATGTGAACTCTTAGCTGCGGCACATGGGATCTAGCTCCCTGAGCAGGGATTGAAACCCAGATCCCCTGCATTAGGAGAGTAGAGTCTTAGCCACTGGACTACCGGGGAAGTCCCAAGAGCTAAAAGGTTTTAAATACTCTTTGGGTACTGTTTTTGTGTAAGAGAAGTAGGAAGTGGCCCTGCATTTGTCTTGTAACGTATCAAGGGTCTTAGTCATGCTCATATTTTTGTGACATACTTCTGAAAGTCTTTTCAGTCTAGTATTAGTATTGGTATCATGTCCATGTCAGTGAAAGTCTCTCAGTCATGTCTGACTTTGCAACCCCATGGACTATACAGTACATGGAATTCTCCAGGCCAGAATACTGGAGTGGGTAGCCTTTTCCTTCTCCAGGAAAGTTGGTACCATAGCTATTATTATAGTATAGCTACTACCATAGCTACAATTATAGTATAGCTACTATTATAGTATACTATTATAGTATAGTATACTACTATAATGGTAGCTATAATAGTAGCTACTATAATAGTAGCTATTATAGTACTATACTATAATAGTAGCTATTATAGCTACTATTGGTACCATAGCTACTGTAATATTGTAATTGTCAGTTTTTAAAGATTTTATGGTAAGTGGTGATGAAAGAATAAATAAGAGTAATCATAAAGGTACAAAAAAAAAATCATAGCAAAAAACTCCCCGATGTATTTGTTTTGCCATTCAATTGATGTGACTTATTCTTTCAGACTGGTGATTTCCTTCATTCTTAGTGCACTTTGTGGATACATAGTTCAGTTCAGTTGCTCATTCCTGTCTGACTCTTTGCGACCCAGTGAACCGCAGCATGCCAGGGCTCCCTGTCCATCACCAACTCCTGGAGTCCACCCAAACCCATGTCCATCGAGTTGATGATGCCATCCAACCATCTCATCCTCTGTTGTCCCCTTCTCCTGCCCTCAATCTTTCCCAGCATCAGGGTCTTTTCCAATGAGTCAGCTCTTCGCATCAGGTGGCCAAAATATTGGAGTTTCAGCTTCAACATCAGTCCTTCCAATGAACACCCAGGACCGATCTCCTTTAGGACAGACTGGTTGGATCTTGCAGTCCAAGGGACTCTCCAAGAGTCTTCTCCAACACCACAGTTCAAAAGCATCAATTCTTCGGTACTCAGCTGTCTTTATAGTCCAACTTTCACATCCATACATGACCACTGGAAAAACCATAGCCTTGACTAGGTGGACCTTTGTTGGCAAAGTAACGTCTCTGCTTTTTAATATACTGTCTAGGTTGGTCATAACTTTCCTTCCAGGGAGTAGGCGTCATTTAATTTCATGGCTGCAGTCATCATCTGCAGTGATTTTGGAGCCCAGAAAAATAAAGTCAGCCACTGTTTCCACTAGGAGCTGTTAAATTTAAATGGTCCCATTCCTTTGGCTGTAAACGTGCTTTTTATATTTTATGCAGAATTCTAACTATCATTTATTAACAATCAGTTGTTCACTCAAATTAAACAAATATTTAGAATCTATAATCAGTCTTTCCTTGGTGTCTACTCTTACCTTGTTGTAACTATTCATCTTGAGTTTTATCACTGTTCCATCAAAATGTACTTCATCAGAAACAACCTAATTCTGCATTTGTTTATTAGTCTGAATACTAACTATATGTAGAAGATACCTGGATTTGTTTAACTCACCTCATTTTCCAGTAATCTGAGTTTTGCCTGTTTCTCACTGGAAACCTCATATTCTTACCCAGTGTTATACCTATTAGGTCCTGAGACTCCTTGAAGGTTCCCATAACATCAGGGAAAATAACATTGCTTCTTTTCTGCCATTCTTAGTTATTTAAATAAAAAAATCCTCTTTGTATTTATAATATAAATGGAGATGGTATATGTCCATTTTAGAATTTAGCAGTTGGATTTATTAAGGTAATTTGTTCATAATTCTCCAAAATATAATCATTTTATTTAAGGATTCCAGCTTTCTTTTAATTAATACATAACTCATCATCTGTGTACTTAGACTTCTAGTGCACTTTGACATTTGCCCATCATTTTTTAAAAATTAGTTTTGAGTTTTGTAAAATTGATGGAATTGAAATTTGCTCTTAGAATTTGGTGCATAAATGTTTTAAAAGTATACACTAGAAAGGGAGTAAGGGTGTTGGTGTTGTCTTTTGCTTACTAATATCATAATTAGCATACAATATCATAATATTGGAAATGTGATTGATACCTTGAGCTGAAACTTTTTTAACTTTCTGATTTATAGTAGAGGCCCAAGGATCATAGAATAAGATTAGTGTTTTATAGGGATATAATCATTTTGCTTGCATAATGATTTTACTTCCTGTCATTCTGAGTTTTTTCATTTTATCTTCACAACAGTGCTGCAAAGCCACAAAGGATATATGCTACTACTTAAGTGTACATTCATGGGGAAAATAGAATATAAATATATAAGCGTGTGTATGTATTTTTTTTAATAAGAAGAAAACGTTCTATTACTTGTAATATATATAAAATGTCAAGTCTGGCAGATTGCTATACATTAGGAGTTGGCAACTTAAGGATCTTGTGCTGCCCTGGCATAAGAGATAATTTGGAATGTCAAAGTCAGGTTACTACTCACCAGAAAAAAAAGTGATGTAGATAAAGGTTATCTCTGCTGCCCTTTCACCACTTCTCTTATCCTTTCTGTTCTAACTCCCCAATCTTTTCTTTCTTCCTAATAGCTGCTGAAGTGTTTGCCAATAAAATTTAAGGTGACATGCTTTTTGTGTTCTTACTTTTTGTCTTAAAATGATCCTTAAGATACTCGCTGAGAAGATTAGAGGTAGAAATTGCCATTTTTAGATGCTGGTGCTTGGCATTACAGAGAATGGAAAAGCTGTCCCATCACTTCCCCTGCTTCTTCTTCATTGATCACTCAGAACAGAGAGTTCCTGAGGAGATCTACAGCACTCTACAGCCTGGGAGTCAAGCTGCACCTTAAGAGTCCACTGCCACCCATTCCCTATTACCATTGAGAGCAAATAAATATAGATTCATTCCAAAGTTCTGAGTATAATTGGAACATTGAAAATAGGAGGCCCATTATTTTATAAAAATAAGCAGAAAAAGAAAAAGTTAACTATAGTATATATATAAATATGCTCTTTGTTAACGATAGTCACCTATGTTTGCAGTCATTTTTTAAAACAAAGTTTTTTACTTGAAGCCTTCCGAAACGGGGGTGGTTTCATTAATGACATCAGTATTTGAAAAAAAAAAATGTTTAAAAATACTTGTTTTCTCTTTGTCTAACTAGATGTGATGCTGACCCTTCAGCCTTAGCCAACTATGTTGTAGCACTGGTCAAGAAGGACAAACCTGAGAAAGAATTGAAAGCCTTTTGTGCCGATCAACTTGACGTATTTTTACAAAAAGGTAATTATTATAGGCCTTCAACCAAGTATTTAAATAGAGATTTTAAATTTAAAACTTGCTGATAAAATCTTAAAGCTTGAAAGGAAAGAAATTGGTCAGAGTCCTTTAAATACTTGAATATACCTATTCATGCTTAATTATTTATTGTGTATTTGGCAAAACTTTTTTCCCTTTCCCACTCTGCTCCTCTCCAATATTGAGTCAGTGGTAATTCAAGTACTTTTTAAGTGAAAGAATCCTTGGAGCTTGTGGTAGAATCTAGTTAATGGTTAAAGAGTAACAATTTTAAAGATAAGGAAGCTGGTTATTCTTACTGTTTATTAAGACAATGAAGGTAACTTTTTCTCCTTCTTGACTGGGGCTTCTTGACATGCAAGAAGAAATGGGCATGCTCCTCTTCTCTGTGTGTCTTTAACTTCTTATCTTAGCAAAATCTTGTTTCTAGTCTGCAGCTTCCTGGGTGCCTCCCTGCTGCTTCTCTGACCTCATCTCCTACCGCTCCCTGTCATTTGTTTCATTCTAGCACGTGGACCACCTTGCTGTTTTGTAAAGCATGGCAAACATGTTCCCAACTGAGGGCTTTTGAACACTGTTTTACCCTTGCTTGAAACACGGTTTCTCATGGTTTCTGGCCTCTTCTCAAATGTCATCTTCTCAGAGTGGTTTCCCCTGAATATCCTGAATACAGTATAGGTCACGCTCTCCCCTTCGCATTTTTGCTTTATTATTTTTTCATGGCATTTGTTACTCCCTGTCATGTTATATGTTAATCTGCCTGTTTATCTGTGTGTGTGTCTCTCTCCACCTCCCGTTTGTCTTTTCCTTTGTTAAAATCGGAGACTTGGAACCTACAGACTTGACATGTAGAAGATACTCAATAAATATTGTTGAATGGACAAACAGAAATGTGGATATTTTATATTTACTAGTTGAGATAGTTGTTAATAATGAGAAAAGATCCTTTAGCTCAAGTATCTGCTGAGAAAGAAAAGATAAGTCATATGGCTTCTCAGTCTAAAACAAAGGATTACATATTTTTTGTGCATTTTTAAGGCTTTTTATACAAAATTAATACAGAATTCTTTCAGTACAGATGAGTATTTTCTAAATGTATTAATTTATATTGCTTAGTTTTAATTAAAGATAGTCATGATATGTGTATATTTTAAATTACAAAAGTAATACATGTTTTAAAAAGTGCTTTAGAAATGCAGAGGCATGTGAAAACAGTCTTCTGATCATAAAGTCTTTCGAATGGTCTGATTAATTTGTCTTAAAGTTATGTGTAAGAAGAGCTTACCATTTTATAATCATGGAAAATGCTTACTGTACAGATTAATAACCTAAAAAGTTTATGAAAAGATGCTTTTCTGAAGAAAAAATTTGACATTTTAGAAATAGCTATTTGTATAAAACATGTAGCAGTTGCGGTGTAAGCAGAATCTGTATTATACTTTTAGTATCCTCTTTAGCTCTTCCTGAGGGGTAGGACCGATGGAAGTGACTTAAATTTGGTTTAAGTAACATAAATATCTTGACATTTAATTTTTAATAACTTTCTCTGGTTCTCTCCATTAAAGAGTTTGAAAAAGTTAAAAAATAGAGCAGCCTTTTTCATGTTTTACTTAAAACACAAAATGATATTTTCATATCATTCTCATGTCAAAATTTATTTTTCAACTAATTTAAAAATATTTTAAATTAAATATTTGAGTAGGCAATTTAGTTAATTTAACAATATTAAGGTATATCATGAAAGTCTCTCTCACCTCATCTGATCCCTTCCCACCCCCAGTGCATTACCTTATCATTTTTGTGTCCTTTCAGAGTTTTCTTTAATGCAAATATATAGATACAATATTTAATTTTATATCTTGGAGTGTTGATATTATCAGTACTCATTCTTTTTATAGCCGCTGTGTGTTATTGTTTGTCATATGATTTATTTAAATAGTCTCTTATTCATGGAAATTTGGGTTGTAGCCAATCTTTTACGTACTCAAACAGGCAATCTTGCATATAAATCATTTTGTACGTGTGCAAGTATCTTTAAAGGGTTTTAAACCCCAGAAGTGGGATTCTCCCCCATAAGGGGTAGACTCATTTTTAGTTCCACCAGCTGTGAATCAGATGTCCCACTTTCCTCAGCTTTGCCAATAGAGTGTGTTGTCAAACGTTTGGTTACCTACTAATCATTCCCCATTTCCCTTTGTGTAACATTTACATATTATTTCTTCTCCTTAGAAACTTCAGGTTTTGTGGATAAGCTATTTGAAAGTCTCTATACTAAGAACTACCTTCCTCCTTTGGAACCAGTTAAGCCTGAGCCAAAACCACCAGTCCAAGAAAAAGAAGAAATTAAAGAAGAGGTAATGTAAAGTTTTCTTTCGCTTGCAGGGACTTCTTAGGTCTTATTATCAGTATCATTCTTAGTTGGTAGTTGACCTCTGTAAAAGCTATTCTCTCTTAACTGGACATAGAGAACAGACTGATGGGTCTGCACAGGAGGAGAGGACTGGGGAAGGGGTGGAGTGGGAGTTTGGGGTTAGCAGATGTAAACTTTTGTATCCAGAATGGATAAACAGCATAGTCCTACTGTGCGGCACAGGGAACTATATTCAGTATCCTATGATGGTAAACCATAATGGAGAAGAATATGAAGTGTGTGTGTGTGTGTGTGTGTAACTGAATCACTTTGCTGTGCAGCAGTAATTAGCACACCATTGTAAGTCAACTACACATCAGTTAAAAAAAGAATGGGCTTCCAGTGTTTTTTCAGGTAATGGAAACACGAAGGAACTTTTCTTCTGTACTGGATAATGTATAACTTGTGGTTGAGTTCTGGGTTAGGGGATTCTGGCGGTCCTTGCTAATGTAGGGGTGATGAGTATCCCACCTGTCCTACGGGGGCGAGCCCGGGGGTATTTCCCTGGTGGCTCAGACAGCGAAGAATCCGCCTGCAGTGCCGGAGAGCCAGGTTCCATCCCTGGGTTGGGGAGATGCCCTGGAGGAAAGAATGGCAACCCACTCCAGTGCTCTTACCTGGAGAATTCCATGGACAGAGGAGCCTGGTGTGTTAAGGTCCCTGGAGCCGCAAAGAGTCGGTCCGGACCAAGAGACTGGTGCTTTCACTTTAGGGCTGCTTCGATGGCTCAGTGGATGAAGAACCTGCCTGCAATGCAGGAAACGTGGAAGAAGATGCAGGTTCGATCCCTGAGTCGGGAAGATCCCCTGGAAAAGGAAATGGCATCCCATGCCAGTATTCTTGCCTGGAAAGTCCCATGGATAGAGGAGCCTGGTACAGTCCATGGGGTCGCAAAGAGTCAGACATGACTGAGCAGCTAAGCATGCAGCATGCGGCACTTAGGACTCCGTGCTTTCATTGCTGAGGGCATTGGTTTAATCCCTGGTCAGGCAAATTTTTTTTTTTAAGGTATAGGTTAAATCTTTGTATAATGAGTTAAAATTTTTGCAACATGTGTCCTTTTTTAGAGTCATTGAAGGTCAGTGGATTGAAAGTGTCTGTTTGAAAGATAGCTTGTTTGAATGAGGAAAATTACATTATCTTGCGTTTCAAAAGAATAGTTAAAGAAAAACAAATTCTTACACTATTTCATTTTGTATCTTTGCAGTAAATCCTAATTTTGAAAATTATGGAAAATGGATTTCAGCTTTTATGTATACTACCCCAAATGTCTGGCATTTTTTCCATTTTCTTAGCTTTTATAGTTAACTTAATTGTTATTACTGACAAATAATAGCTGGTAGAATAGTGTGTAAATATAATAGTTTATAGTAATTGTTAGATAACATTGAAGGGAGGAAATTGTCTTTTTTGTACCTTCAGCCACTTGCCATCCTCATAAATACTTAGTAGGTATCTCTAAAAGGTTATATTTTTAAAGCCTTATATAAAAGTAACAATAGCTCCTTAATATCAGATATCCAGTGTTTAAATTGCTAATTGTTCATAAATGTCCATTTTTTTCCCCATTTGTTTGAGTCAAGATCTAAATAATAAGGTTGGCTGAACTGAATACCTTATGTATTCCCTCTCACTTGCCTCATGCCAAGATTACTGCTATTCTTATTTCTAATACAGTGTAAGGAAGTGAAGTCTCTCAGTCGTGTCTGACTCTTTGCGACACCATTTACTGTAGCCCACCAGGCTCCTCGGTCCATGGGATTTTCCAACCCATGGAGTGGGTTGCCATTCCTTTCTCCAGGGGATCTTCCCGACCCAGGGATCGAACCCAGGTCTCCCGCATTGTAGGCAGACGCTTTACCGTCTGAGCTACCAGGGATACAGTGTATTCTTGGTTTTTTCATTTTATGTAATAAGAATCATATAGACTTTTTAAAATCTGTACAAATCAAGCATTTTATTTATATAGCAAGGAAGCACTCATTTATTCTCGACTTAAGTATACTTGAGATTAAAAATCATGTTTGGCAATGTACCTCAGGATGCTGAATAAAACTTCACCCATATTGCCTTGGATTTTTTGATCTTTCTATGTTTTCCATACCCATGGGAACAATTAATTTAGCTTCCTTAACCTACTGGATGCTCCCTGGATGTAAAAGTCTTATACTCTTTTCGTCTAGCTTCCTTAGCTTATTTTTACATGAGATTCATTCATATTGTTCATGCCCTTTGACTTTTTTGAACAGCTTATTGATATGTAATTCACCAACTTTACAATTCGCCTATTTAAAATATACAAATGTGATAATTTTCATTGTATTCAGAATTGTGTAACCATCTCCATAATCCATTTTAGAACATTTTCAGTATCCAAAAAAGAAACTTCATGCTCATTAAGCCATTACTTCCAAATGCTTCCAGTCCCAGTCCCCACCCCAGGCAATATACTAAACTATTTTCAATCTCATTAAATTTGCTTATTCTGGACATTTCATATAGGTGGAAGTACACAGTATGTAATCTTCTGTGGCTGGCTTCTTCTGCTTAGCATAACACTTAAAAGGTTCCTCCAAACTGTAACATGTATCAGGACTTCTTTTATTTTTCATGGCTGAATAATACTCCATTTTATGAATATATCGCATTTTCTTTATCCAGTCATCAGTTGATATTTGTATTAATAGGCAAATATAGTTAATACTTTTTATCTATCATAAACAATACTGCTATGAACATTCATGCACAGGTTTTTGTTTGGCTTTATGTTTTTATTATTTTGGGTTCTTTAACTTTTTAAGAATAGATTTTCCCATTAGAAAAGCTAATTAGTAGTTTAGAAAATTACTTCCCTAAAATTAGGAAAATTCAAGGCGTGAATTAATAGATGTCCATTAAAAAAAACTTTAGAGGATATACAAAAGCAAAAAGAAGGATGAAGTTCTCCAAGTTGTTATCTTTTAAATCTCTTTATATTAACCCCCCGCTTCCTACTTACCTGTGTATCTCTTCTTTTCATCACCCCCTTTTTTCCCTTAAATTATATTTTGTTGAAGAAACTGAGCAAGTCATTTTTGCTCAGCAAAAAACTGAATCATTTGCTCCAGAAATTGGAGTTTTTGACTCTGGATTTTGCTGATTGCATCCTCTGTGTTTTCTGTGAATTGGTAGAATGATTTTTTTAAACATAGTTTAATAATTGTAGAATGTTTTTGTCATCACCATATAGTTGTCACATTGTGGCTGCCATTATGTTGCCTGGATTTTACTAAATTGTTATCTTTTGTTCCATTCATTCACTTCCTGACTTGTGTATTTTTAAATGAGCCTCTCATTAGATGGGCATTTGTTTAGCTCTTCCAAATGTCCTCATTTGTCTTAATTTCTCTCTAATAAAGGCTGTGTATATGTTTTTTAACTTATTTACTTTTGGCTGTGCTGGGTCTTGGTTGCTCATGTAGGCTCTGTCTAGCTGCAGGGCTCCTCTCTGGCTGTGGTGTACGGGTGTCTCATTGAGGTGGCTTTTCTCATTGTGGAGCACAGGCTCTAGGTGCCTGGGCTCAGTGGTTGTGATGCGAGGGCTCAGTTGCCCTGAGGCGTGTGAGTTCTTTTCAGACCAGAGATTGCACCCATGTCCCCTGCATCGGCAGGTGGATTCTTTACTACTGGACCACCGGGGAAGTCCCATGTATTTGCTTTGAGATTAACTTGTGTTTAAAAAACTAATAGAATCACTAGTTCTGTATTTCTGGTCAATCTTGACTTTAAGTTTTAAAAGAAGCCTTAACATTTCCAATAATTCCGATACCATTTTTCCATAATTCACATGAAATACTTAGTTTTATAGCAGTGGTTAACTTAACCGTTTGTTCCTTAAAGTTTGTCTATGAAATAAATCTAAAGTTCTCCTCAAATGAATTATATTGTGAGTATACTTTGTAATTAGGAAAACACACAAACCATTTTACTATATGATACTTAGAAGTAGAGATTTGTTATTTTTACTGTTACGTTTTAAAGAATGAATTAATGTTTTCCTCCTACACTGCTATTAGAGTGATATTTAAAATTTAACATATTGCTGTTAAAGTAATTTCAACATCTTTTTTTACTTCTTCCCGTTGACCAACTTTGGGGGATGTGATTTGATTTTAGTATTTCAGTATATTTATGCCCTCTCTTGTGGCCAGAAAGATTTATGAGGTGGATGTGTTTTATAATTTATGGAAGAACTGTTCTTGTTTCTAATGATTATTTTCATGTAGGTATTTCAGGAGCCAGCAGAGGAAGAACGAGATGGCAGAAAAAAGAAATACCCTAGTCCCCAGAAGACTCGTTCAGAATCTAGTGAACGAAGGTTTGTGTTTAATTAGGAAGACATTGATAACTCACTTTTCAGTTAACTTGTAAGGACATTAGCAGGATTTTTGACATATGCTCTACTCCTCTCATTGTAAAATGATTAAAGAAATAATTTTTTTTCCCCCATTCCCTTTGTTTTTTGTCTTTGTCATACTTTCTCTTCCTTTTATAAACAGTAATCATTATGTGCTTTCCCCAAGAGCTCAGGGGTGGGAGCAGTGTCCTTAGAGAATATTAATGAAATGTTCCATTTGGTTAGGGGTGCTCAGTATTAACATTGTCCATAGCATTTTATATTACAAGTGGTGCGGTATATATGTTGATTCATCAGCCTGCCATCAAAAAATTAGTTTTTGTTTAGGAATGCTTTGTTTTGAACTTGTTGTCTTTTCTAGTTTTAAATATGTTTTTCCTTTTACCCCTCCCCATGCTTTGGATTCACCTCTTTTTTTCATTTCTCCCCACCCAGTACACTTGAAGGGAATGTTTTTTCTTTTTATATAATGGATTAGAGAAATTACGCAGTGGTTTTACAGCTCTCTGGGAAATGCTTAGAAGTTACGAATTTTGATGAATCACAGAGGATAATTCATATTCCAGATTGGTTTTCTGTCCTGTTTACTCCAGTGTACCTATGGCTTTCATATCTGTGTATTACAGGACACGAGAGAAGAAAAGAGAAGATGGCAAGTGGAGAGACTACGACCGGTACTATGAGCGGAATGAACTGTACCGTGAGAAGTATGACTGGAGAAGAGGCAGGAGTAAGAGCCGGAGTAAGAGCCGAGGCCTGAGTCGAAGTCGGAGTCGAAGCCGGGGGCGCAGCAAAGACCGGGATCCAAATAGGAGTGTTGGTGAGTCCATGTGGCTTCCCCCTAAAACTCCATAGTTGCTTGTCTTGTATCACAGGGGTGTCATAACACCGCTTAGAGGTAAATGTACCTTTAATATGGAAACATTGAAGGCAACAGGAGAAGGAGGTGGCAGAGGATGAGGTGGTTAGATAGCATCACTGACTCAATGGATGTGAATCTAAGCAAACTCCGGGATATAGTGAAGGACAGGGAAGCCTGGCGTGCTGCAGTCCATGGGGTCGCAAAGAGTCAGACATGACTTAGGGACTGAACACCAACAAGCAACCTTTAATATGTCTAAGCAATGTAAAATCTTGAATTGTGTCACAAAAACTTGATTTTTGTCACAAGGTCAGGCTCTGTTCTCAGGGTGGCGTCAAAGGAGTTTGACTAAGAAGAAGCTATTTGTTCATGTATCATAGGACATGTCTAAGTTTAAGTCATTTTGTGTAATTGAAACGCATGTCCTTTAATCAACAAAACTATTACTGGTGGGAGAGGGTTGCCTCTTTCTGTACCCACACCCCCTACCTGAAAATAATTGATTTGCTTTAAGGTTGGCTAGAGTATTTAAAAAGAAAAAAATTGCAGTAGATTACTGGGATCCCAACCTCTGATATCCTAGGATATCAGTTTGAAAGTCAGTTCTTAGCATTCTTACTAAGTCAGTAGAGAAACTGATCTTTCTTCATTATGTATTGATGTTGATGTTATAAAAGATGATTTTATACAAGTTACTGGTCAAGATCCATCACATTGTTGACGTTCTTGGTTTTAGACTATAGTAATAATGAGAGCACTTTAAAATATGGACAACTCATTAAGTTTACTTCAGTATTCTCATCTTGCCTTTCCTGTGAAAAAATAAATATAGTTTAACAATATAGAAGTCTGGTCTTATTTGTTTCTTGTCTTTATTTTGTCTCCAAAGCAGAACATAGGGAAAGATCAAAGTTTAAGAGTGAAAGGAATGACTTGGAGAGCTCCTATGTGCCTGTGTCTGCACCAGCTCCGAACTCTTCTGAGCAGTATTCCTCGGGGGCACAGTCTATTCCCAGCACTGTTACTGTGATTGCACCTGCACACCACTCTGAAAACACAACGGAGAGTTGGTCTAATTACTATAATAATCATAACTCTTCCAATTCTTTTGGTCGAAACCCACCACCAAAGAGGCGATGCAGAGATTATGATGGTAAATTCTCTTCTATGTTGTACCCCAGAGTACTAGTAAAGTAAATGTTGCTAGTAGTGCATACCATTTCATTACAGTCTGGATTTTATTAAAAGGGATGAATGAGGAGGAGAATCTCTTTTGGCATATGCTTCTTTACTTGTTAGATGTAATAGTTTGGCTCTTGTTAACATAGTGTTCAGATTTGACCCTTTAATTTATTTTTTGTTTTCCTCTTCCGACACCGCAAAATTTGGTAGACACTAGGAATTGTCATTTTTTTATGTGCTGTTTGACCCTGGGGATTTGTTAAGCATGTATAACCTACTTACAGTTTTAACTTGGCTAACTTTCCATTTGAATGAATGGATTGGTGTTATGTGTGCAATTATTTTTATTTTTTATTATGGGAATATTTTAAATATTTACAAAAATTCACAAGGTAATATAATTAATCCTAGTGTATTTGTGACCTCATATCAACAGTTGTCAATTCATAGGCAATCTTGTTTTCATGTATACTTCCACAGCTCCTCCCAGGCCTGTATTATTTATAGCAAATGACTGGACATCATAACATTTTTTCTTTAAATATAGAATGTATGTATTTTTGCTCTTTATTTATTTTTAAGTAGGGAATAGAATCACATGATTCAGGCATTAACTCACCCTCACCCTGGTCTCCCAGCCCAAAGATCTTCTCAAAGCCAATTTCATGCTGTCGCTTTCTTGGTATCTTTCCACTTAGTCTATGCATGTGTACATAAAAACACATTCTCCCCCACTTTTTTTTAACATAAATGTTATTGTACTTTATACTATTTATACTTCATTCATACTATGCATTTTGTTTTTCTTTCACTTAACATTATTTCCTGGCAGTCATCCTGTATAAATATATTAACTATAAAGAGCTTCTTCAGTTTTTTTTTTTTTTTAATACTTAGTATTCTGTATGTACAAAAATGTGTTTAAACTGATTTCTTATTGATGACACTTTTGGGATGTTTCAGATTTTTGCTGTTAACAAACAATTCTTCAGTGAATAACCTGGAACATAATATTCAGTTGAATAATTTAAAGTTTCAACTTATAGCAAAAATGGTTGCTTTAGAATAATATCATGAAAGTAGATAGTTGAAAGTAGTCATCCAATTCACATTGCTTATCCTCTCTACCTTTGTTAAGTTATTTAAAATATCAGAATTTTTATTATGAAAACTCAATAGCAAATGGGTTAATATGATAGTGGTTGATAGCCTGCTTTTGACCTGATCATTTGCTGTATCAGCAAAGCACAGTGTCACAGTATAGAAAATAGAGAGTACACCTGTTCCTACCTCAGGAGTATGCAATGGTAACAGAGTGACACTAAGAAGGCTTTAAATTCCTTGCAGAAAAAGCACTCCATAAATCAGATTGGTGGATGTTTCAGGGAATTGTTTGCTGAACTCTGTGTAGGTCATAATGAAATTTATCTTTGATTCTTACAGAAAGAGGATTTTGTGTACTTGGTGACCTTTGTCAATTTGACCATGGAAATGATCCCCTGGTTGTTGATGAAGTTGCTCTGCCAAGCATGATTCCTTTCCCTCCACCTCCTCCTGGGCTTCCTCCTCCACCACCTCCTGGAATGTTAATGCCTCCAATGCCAGGCCCTGGCCCAGGCCCTGGTCCAGGCCCAGGCCCAGGCCCAGGCCCTGGCCACAGCATGAGACTTCCTGTTCCCCAAGGACATGGCCAGCCTCCACCTTCTGTTGTGCTTCCCATACCAAGTAAGTATATGTATAGTTTCTTTAGTGAAGAATATTTAGAGGAATCCATCCCTTTTATGTAACTTGACACTAGATTTTAAGAATTTGAAAAGTTATTAATAGAATTTGGAATATATTCCCATAATTAAGATGTTCTTCCCTTTTTTATACCCAGTGTCATATTGCATTATTTATAGCACCTCCAAGTGTAAATTTTATTAGTAGTGCCCTAACCTATATTGACCTGGAGTCAAAATCTTGCTCGTTGATAGAAAGCCAGCGTTTTGAAGAGGTCAGAAAAAAAAAGAGTATGCCAGTAGTTTAGTGCAAGTTCCATCTTTAAAGGGGAGAAGGAAATGGCAACCCACTCCAGTATTCTTACCTAGAGAATCCTGTGGACAGAGGAGCCTGGAGGGCTGCTGTCCATAGAGTGGCACAGAGTCAGACACGACTGAAGCGGCTTAGCATGCATGCATGCACTGGAGAAGGAAATGACAACCCATTCCACTATTCTTTCCTGGAGAATCCCAGGGACAGAGGAGCCTGGTGGGCTGCCGGCTGTGGGGTCACACAGAGTCAGACATGGCTGAAGCAACTTAGCAGCAGCATCTTTAAAGAAAATCTCTTAGAGAATATTGAAATACTCTTTAAAACATTTTATTATGGAACTTTTCTTGTTTTCCTTCTTCCAGTTATGTTAATCTATATACATACAGCACTGTATAGTTTAAGGCATACAGCATACTGATTTGATTTATATACATCATGAAGTGATAATCACAGTAAGTTTAGTGATCATCCATCATCTCATATATGTATAAAATTAAAGAAATAGTAAAAAAGTTTATTTTTCTTATGATGAGAACTCTTAGGATTTACTCTGTTAACAACTTTCATATATAACATTCAGCAGTGTTAATGATATTTATCATGTTGTACATTATATCCCTAGTACTTATTTATCTTATAATTGAAAGTTTGTGTCATTTGACTGCCTTCATCCAATTTCTCTTCCCCTTTATGGAAATTTTTGAATACACACAGATGTAGAATAATAATATACCATGTTTCACCATCTAAATTCAATGGTTAATATTCAGCTGTTTTTGTCTCATTTATTCTTCTTGCCTGCCCCACACAATTTTTTTTACTTTTTTTTCCTGAAGTATTTTTCAGATATCAGAGCATTTCATCAGTATGTACTGCGGTATGAATCTCTTTACTGATAAAAGACTTCAAAAAAAAAGAAGGTCAATATGCTGTTACCAAATTCACCAAAATTAGGAGAAATGTTTAAAAATGATCATTTCAAAAAAACAGCTGCTAGTTGAGCTAAAACAGATATAAGACTGAATTTTTAAAATATAACTGAGAAAATTCTGGAGCAGTCATTTTACATGTTGTCAGTTCAGTTCAGTCGCTCAGTCAGGTCTGACTCTTTGTGATCCCATGGACTGCAGTACACCAGGCTTCTCTGTCCATCACCAACTCCTGGAGTTTACTCAAACTCATGTCAGTTGAGTGGGTGATGCCGTCCAACCATCTCATCCTCTGTCGTCCTCTTCTCCTCCCACCTTCCATCTTTTCCAGCATCAGGGTCTTTTCATTTGAGTCAGTTCTTTGCATCAGGTGGCCAAAGTATTGGAGTTTCAGCTTCAACCTCAGTCCTTCCGATGAATATTCAGGACTGATTTCCCCTGGGATGGATTGGTTGGGTCTCCTTGCAGTCCAAGGGACTCTCGAGTCTTCTCCAACTTCACGGTTCAAAAGCATCAATTCTTTGGTGCTCAGCTTTCTTTATAGTCCAACTCTCACATCCATACATGACTACTGGAAAAACCATAGCTTTGGTTAGACAGACCTTTGTTGGCAAAGTAATGTCTCTGCTTCTTAATATGCTGTCTAGGTTGGTCATAACTTTTCTTCCAAGGAGCAAGTGTCTTTTAATTTCATGGCTGCAGTCACTATCTGCAGTGATTTTGGAGCACCCAAAAATAATCTGTCACTGTTTTCACTGTTTCCCCATCTATTTGCCGTGAAGTGATGGGACCGGATGCCATGATCTTAGTTTTCTCAATGTTGAGCTTTAAGCCAACTTTTTCGCTCTCTTTCACTTTCATCAAGAGGCTGTTTAGTTCTTCTTCGCTTTCTGCCATAAGGGTGGTGTCATCTGCATATCTGAGGTTATTGATATTTCTCCTGGTAGTCTTGATTCCACCTTGTGCTTCATCCAGCCCAGTGTTTCTCATGATGTACTCTGCATATAAGTTAAATAATCAGGGTGACAGTATACAGCCTTGACGTGCTCCTTTTCCTATTTGGAACCAGTCTGTTGTTCCATTTCCAGTTGTAACTGTTTCTTCCTGACCTGCATACAGATTTCTCAGGAGGCAGGTAAGGTGGTCTGGTATTCCCATCTCTAAGAATTTTCCACAGTTTGTGGTGATCCACACGGTCAAAGGCTTTGGCATAGTCAATAAAGTAGAAGTAGATGTTTTTCTGGAACTCTTTTGCTTTTTTAATAATCCATCAGATGTTGGCAATTTGATTGCTGGTTCCTCTGCCTTTTCTAAAATCAGCCTGAACATCTGGAAGTTCACAGTTCATATACTGCTGAAGCCTGGCTTGGAGAATTTTGAGTGTTACTTTACTAGCATGTGAGATGAGTGCAGTTGTGCGGTAGTTTGAGCATTCTTTGGCACTGCCTTTTTTTGGGATTGGAATGAAAACTGACCTTTTCCAGTCCTGTGGCCACTGCTGAGTTTTTCAAATTTTCTGGCATGTTGAGTGAGTCACTTTCATAGCATCATCTTTTAGGATTTGAAATAGCCCAACTGGAATTCCATCACCTTCACTAGCTTTGTTCGTAGTGATGCTTCCTAAGGCCCACTTTATTTCGCATTCCAGGATGTCTGTCTCTAGGTGAGTGATCATACCATCGTGATTATCTGGATCATGAAGATCTTTTTTTTTACTTGCGTACAGAGGTATAAGAAAATACTACCTACCTGAAGATATTTAATGTTTTAAGAGTTGGCAAATTATTTGAAAAAATGGTTACCATTCAGTTTATTTAAGTGGTACTTTTTTAATTCTTCTTAAAATTTTTAATTTTTAAAATTATTATAGGCTCACTGGAAGTGGCAGAAATAGTTTAACATGATACCTTGTACCCATTGCATAGCTTTCCTTCCATAACATTCTTTGTAGAACACATTTCATTAAAATTGATAAAGGTTTGTATACATTTAACGCATAGATTTGGTCAACAGCAGTATGGTTCTTTTAACAGTGGGTTGTGAGTATTTAATATTGTCACATAAATGGTATAATTGTGAAGCTCAAGTTGAGATTTAATTTCTCAGATAAAAGCATCTTTGATGTATAGAAATTCTCACAATAAAAGATCCTACCTCATTTGGGGGAACATACCTGTGTAAAAGTTAAATCTAAGAGTGTCATTTCCCCCTGAACACTTTGTCAAGAAAAGTTTCAAGGAAACAAATACCATCTAGCTTCTACAATTAGCACTTTCCTATCTCCTAAAGCAGGGAATGGCTACCTACTCCAGTATTCTTGACTGAAGAATTCCATAGACAGAGGTGCCTGGTGAGCTATAGTCCATGGGGTCGCCAAGAGTCGGACATGACTGAGTGATTCACACTTTCTTTTTCATGTTGTATTATCATATATCTTTCCATCTCTCCATTTTTAGTTTTAACGCATTTCACAGTACATTGTAGACATCAATACATCAAACATGTTTGTCATTAACTTAAGAGTTCTATAGAACTTTATTATCACCCCAGAAAGTTTGTTCAAATCTCTTGGCCATTATCTACTCCCACCCTCCAGATGCAACCAGATCTGCCCCTTTTCCACCCTAGATTAGTCTATTACAGAACTAAAATGTCATTTCACTTAATAATGCTCTCAGTGCTCAAGCCTGCTCATATCAAATTTCTTTAATCTGTTCTAAACCAAAGTAGGTATTTTATATGTGAATATCCTTATTGTACTTGGTGTTGTGAGTGTTTTTATTAGCTAGCAAACATTACTGCTCTACCTCTCACTTTTTGTTGTCTGTAGGACCACCCATAACACAATCAAGCTTGATCAACAGCCGAGACCAGCCTGGGACAAGTGCAGTGCCCAATCTTGCACCAGTGGGAGCAAGACTACCTCCTCCTTTACCCCAGAACCTCCTTTATACAGTGTCAGAACGTAAGTATACATTTGATTTATTAATAAAATTGTTAGGGCATAGAAAAGCCAGAAGTTTTCTCAGAACACTTAAAAAAAAACAGTTAATTTCTATTTTAAGAACTATGCAAAATTATACTTATGTTTACAGGGCAATTCACTGTGTAGTTATGCTCTGTAACTATATTTTAATTTTGTGTGATGATGGGAGAGAAGGACAAGGCCTTCTGTATTGGAGAAGTCTGCTCTACTATAGTGTAGCAACATTCTTCTGCTAAAGGGATTATATTTTGAAGCTTCTGTTCAAGAATCGTTCTTCTGATTGAATTTCCAAAGCCTAAGACTTACCCCCTAAAAGCATACAAAAGATTGGATAAAATACACCTAATTATTTAACTTGTAATGCTGAAACGAGCATAGCATCATTTAAACTATAGCATTTAGTGGTTAGACTGTCTTGTAACATTGATGTGTAACTGTAATAATATGTTTTTCTTGAATCCTGTCTTTTATTTTTCATAGTTTTTGTTAACTGTTGTTTTTAGTTTACTGAGGCTTAAAAGAAAAATTTCTCTCTTCAGAAATATAAAAATAAGGCAGTTAGTTGATTGTTAAAAATGTCAGACTGTGAGAATTTCTTTACAGAGCTAGGTAACTTTATAGATAAATTTACCTTTTTTGTAACTGTGTTTATCATAAACATTTCTTCATCTCTGTCATGACCTGGGGAGGCAACTCAGGAAAGTAATTAAGCTTAGGTTCAAATTTTGGTTCCATCATTTATGTCACTGTGACCTTAGGCAAGTTGCTTAACCTTTTTGTATCCTAATTTTCTCTTTTGTAAAACAGAAATAGTAGTAACATTACTCATCTCATTAAGGTTACTTTGGGGAAACATGTTATGTGTTAATACATATAAAGCATCTAGAATAGTATCTGGCACCTTAAGCTATACATAAGGAATAGTTGTTACAGTTTTGTAGTTATCGTCTCCATAAATTTCAGCCTCTCCGAAATCAAAACCTGTTATTTTCCCCTAAGTCTCTATTACCTCCACAATCCCTGTCTTTCTTTGCTAATATGAGTAACACCCACCTAATCACCTAGAATTGAAAACCCTAACATGACTGACTCATTGCTTTGCTTTTTTATTTCTAGTTAATTGAAAATTTCTTCCTCTTTTTTCATTGATGCATCCTTTTCTCTCTCTTCCTGCTATGGTTTCTGCCCTCATCCACACTTGAATCACTTCACATTTTGGATTATTGCTGCAGTCTTTTTGACTCCAATGTATTTTACTCCCACTTTCCCTCTATGTTACACCATATAATGCTACTAAGCTAGTTTGCCTGAGAAAACCAACCATGACAGTTCCTTATTATGAGAATTCTTCAGTGCTACTGTTTCCTCCTATGTTCCGCTGTGCTTTCTCAGAACAGAAGCCATATCTGATCGTTAAATAATTATCCATTTTGTTTTACTTTTAGTATCTGATAGTCTTCTAATTACTATAGTATCTTGTTACAGTGCTTATTTTACTGCTCTCATTTTTTAAATTATGGCCAATTTCAGACATATATAAAAATAAAGAAGGTAGTATAATAAACTCCCATGTTTCCATCACTCAGCTTCAACATTTACCAATCTTGTTTCATCTTTCCCCTCCCTAAATCAGCTCTTAGCATTATTTCTTAGTGCTTTTGGACTTGTAAATATGAAAAATGGGTTATTTATCTGAAAATCTTTTGCAGATTACACATTTTCATATTGTTAAATATAGCATGATAAAAATTTCATTTTGTTTTTAATTTATAAAAAATGTGGCAATTATGATTTATTTTAATATTATTAAATTTAACATTGTGATTCCATTTTTATTTTTCCTCCAACATTAGATTTTATTTTCTACTTCAGATAATTATGGGCAAATGTATATCTAATTTTGTGGCACAAAGTCCAGCTTTTTTTTTTTCAGCTTTTTAAAAAAAAACTTCTGTTAGAGTATAGTTGATTAACAACGTAGTGTTAGTTTCAGATGTACAGCAAAGGGAATCAGTTATATATTCACTCTTTTTTTAGATCCTTTTCCTGTATAGGTCATTACAGAGAATTGATTAGAGTTCCTTGTGCTATATACTAGTTCCTTACTTGTTACCTATTTTATATATAGTGTGTATATGGCAATTCCAGTCTCCCAGTTTATCCTTCCTGTCCCCCACTTCTCTTTTTCCTCCAGATATTCATAGGTTTGTTTTCTATATCTGTATTTGTTTTGTGGCTAAGTTCATTTGTACCATTGTTTTAGATTCCACATATAAGTGATAGCATATGATATTTGTCTTTCTCCATCTCAGTTACTTGACTCAGTATGACAAAAGGTCCCTTTTGGTTTTCATGAAAAAATTTTGTAAAAAAATTGTAGTTTTTAAAAAAAAATTCATCATGAATATTCACAGCATAGAAAATGTGTATAAGTGAAGAACAGCATATCATATGATAGTTGTGAAAATTTTATCAGTAGGGACCCAAATAAACATAGAAAAATTAAATCTGGTATTTTAGGGTAGGAATAGGGTCTATTCAATGCTCAGTACTGGGAATATGAGTGAGAGATGATTTTTATCCTAAGAAGCTAAAAATCTAATAGTGGGAAAGAACTATGTCAAAAATTACAAACTCGCAAAAAACCAATTACAGTGTATTTTGCTGTAAAGCAACAGAGTGCCTCAGAAATACATGTAACAAAGGAACTAATTCTGCCTGAAATAAAACCTTCATCTAGTCTAATTATTACTGAGTTTTGAAGAGGGCAATTGAATGTTAAAAGGAGAAAAAGAATTTCCCCACTGTAAAACTGTAGGTTATATGGGGCTCCTGGCAATGCTATTTAAAACTTAATGGCAGGTATGATTATAATTTAGAAAAAACTGAAATTCGGTTTTTGTTGAATTAAAATGTCACAGATGCTCTGAAAAGGATTTAAATAATGAAATGTAGTTGGAAGTGTGTGGAAAAACACCTATTAAAAACAACTATTTCCTTTGACATACTTAAGCATTTTTACCCAAAATCAAGAGTTGCCAGTTGAGTTGTGTGGTTTGGGGGTTTGAGGTTTTATTTTCCTTTGTTTTCACAGGACAGAACCATTTTAAACTATATTCCTTTAAATTTGACTTGTTTCTTTTGCTTCTTTGAAAAAGATGTAATAGAAATATTTTGTACCTGCTAAGCTCCTTGTATTGAGTATGTGAAAGATTAGTAGTAAAATATATAACAGCCTAAAGTAGTAAAATATAACAACCTAAAGATTGATTCTTCGTTTGAAGGCAGTTGTCAATCTTCAGGTGAATTTACATAAGTTACTTTTATCTTTCAGAGAATATATTTACTATTAGCTGTGTAAAATTATTAAAACATCATATTCTTATACTTGAGATGCCTCATTTAATTCTGCGGAGTACATAACTTTTTTCTGTGCACAGTCACAGATTTTGATGTCTAGAAAAGTCAGTCTCCTATAGAGTCGTATATTGTCTAGAATTTCTCTCCCCTCGTGTGTTACTTGGATTTGTTTTGCATTAGTTGTCATATTGCCCATTTCAAATAATGTCTGATGAATATCAAATAAAGGCATTTGTCCTTAGAAATACTTAAATGTCATTGGGAAGCAATTAGTAAATAACCTTTCATCCATTCTGTTAAATATTGAGTTCCTACTATGTGCGAGGCACCATTTAGACCCTGGAACTTTAAAAGGTATGCCAGGGACCTTGGATTCTAATAGAGAAGACACATAATAAATATGGCCAATAGTTGGAAGGTATAACTTTCTATTTTCTTCTGATTCAGCTTTCAGTTTAAAACTCATCTTAAGACTTTTTTTTCCCTTGTGAATATTCTTAAAGACAAAATCAGGAGAATTACAAAGTGTAGCTAAAATTTTAGTTTGAATAGACTATCTTCAAAAGACTAGAGTTAACATTGTGTGTGTGTGTGTGTGTGTGTGTGTCTGTTTGTTAGTTGCTCAGTCATGTCCAACTCTAAAGAATGAAAATATTGCTATCAGTCAGACATATAAGATACATGAATGACTTAAAATAGGAGCATGAACTTAGGAGACTTGCATTTTGAAATTATTGAGTCACTCTACACTGGTAAAAACTAAATTGAATCAGAATCTGAAAAAGAATATATGCACACACCTATATTTATGTTTAACTGACTTACATTGCTGTACATCTGAAATTGGCACAGCACTGTAAATCAAATATATTCCAGTAAAAGTTTGAGAAAAAACTAAAGTGAATGAATCTCAATTGTGACTGACTTGTCTTCACCATCAACCAACTTGATTTTTTAAAACTTTTTATTATGGAAAATTTCAAATATACATAAGAGAGTAAACACTGTAGTAATCTTCATTACTCAGTTGCTGTTTTCAACATTTATCAACGGATTGATTAACGTAACTTTATCTGTAACTCACTCCTGACTTGATTATTTAAAAACAAGTTCCAAACATACCATTTAATCTATAAATCTCTGAAAGATAAGGGATAAATACACGCACACAATTACTATACTTTATCACAATCCCAAAATATAACAGGTATTATTCTCAAGTATCTAATCAGTGTTCATATTTCCCAGTTGTATCATAGACATTCCTTTATATCTGGCTCATTTGAAGCTGAATCCAAGCAAGGTTACACATTACATTTAGTTGATATGTTTCTTAAGCCTTTGAATCTATAACAGTTTCTCCTACCTCTTTTTTTCCCCCTTGACACTTATTTGTTGAAGGAGCAGATAATTTGTCCTAAAGAATTTTTCCATAACCTAGACTTGGCATATCTTGCATCTGCTGGTGTCATTTAATGCATTCCTCTATCCCATTTTTTCTGGAAATTGGAGATTTATCTAGATCTAGATTAACAGGGTCACATTGGGGGTTTTTGCCTCCTTATTTTGCATGAATGTTTTACTGATGGGGTTTTGTACTTCCTACTGCAGTATATACCTGGTGTACAATGTCAGATTGTCTCCTTTCTGTGTTACAAATATTGATCACTGTGTACAGGTGTTTTCATCCTGATCCATCCTTTCAAAAAATTGCTCGTGGTTGTTTGTGATCCCTACCCACTTTTCTTGTTTCATTTGGGGCTATAAAAGTGCGATACTCTAATTCTATGATTTCTTTTATGTTTATTGGCTGACAGTCTACAAAGTAGAACTTGGCAGTGTTCGCCATTTGGTTAACCGAAATGTACTTTTTACAGGAAAGACAGGATAAATGCTTCTGTCCTTTCATTTATCAGTTTTCAGAAAATGAGTTTGTTTCCATGTATCTTCCAGAGGGACCACTGTACTTTTTCTAAGTATCATTATGAACTCATGGATTTATAATATTTGCTATGTTTCACCCCATTGTGGCCTTTTTTTGGTGTTCAGATTGGCTGTTATTTGACCATGGGAAGCCTCTTCATGTTGGCTTCTGCAGGTTGCTTTGTTGTATTTTTTATATGCTGGTATTTGGTAGCCATCTTGCTTCTGGAGCATTATACGAGCGTGTACCAGACTCATCTTACAAGTTTTCTATCCAGACCTAGAATCAACCTTTTGTCTAAGAACTCTTTCTTTTTCACATAGTATTTAGAGAGAGACCTGAATAGATGTTGTTAAAGAAAATCAGGCCTCATTTGAATAAACAGCCATCTTTCTGAAGTGTAAGAATGCATGTTCTTTGTCATTCATTTTAAAAAGGCATTGTACAAACTAGCCTTTTAGTTTCTCATTTGCTTTGAGATAGTTACTAATTAAATGCACATGCTATAAAATACTTTATCATAAATTTAAGCTAGTCATATGAACTGATTGTACTTCCCATTTTTCTCTTTAGCACATGACTTCATTCTGCAAGAAATTCTCTGCAGTATATCATGCTTTGACTATTTTAAAAAACAACTATTTTCAGATCATTGAGGATATGTTAGATTGCTTTTGGAATGTAATGATTGATCTTTTTTCATGTAAATTTTGAAAAGATTGGTGCTAAGCACACAATTATGTGGTCTGCTTATACAGTATGATTTGTCACCTTTTCTCCATATATGGGAAAGTATAGCATATCCATTTCTTTACATTTATTGTGAAATCAAGTGGTTGCTTTGTGACTTGTCTTATTAAAGTGTATTAAAAGTCTTCTGGAATTTTACAACTTTATAAGGATATTTCATCATATTAAAATAAAATCTAAATTCACTTTGTCTTGTGTCACATAGTGAACGTCTGACTTCAGATACAAAATATTGAGTAAATCTTAAAAATAGGTCTCATATGGAGTAGTAAATGAAACAGATACTATTAAATAACCAACCAAAGAGAGGTTTTGCTCCTTGATACCTTGTCTTTTTTAATCTTGTTCTACAAACTTTGGCTTCATTGTTTCTGCCATTTTTGCATCTATAAACATGAACTCTAAACGTGCTTTCTTGCCAGAAGTGGTCCTTCGTGTCTGAGACACTTCCGTGTGCACAGTAGCTAGGCTGTTCATGTGGGACTTCTGTCCCCTTGTCTGCTTGTTGTCCTCCTACTTACAGAATAGCAGATTTTCACTGTCTTCATGTTTTTCTTTTGAACATTTCTTATTTTCCATGAGAGTATGCTTGTGGTGGGTGTTTCTTTTTTAATTCCTTTATGTTTGTTTTTTCTGCTCCCAGATATGGGAATAGTTTGTGCATACCTGAAATTATATGAATTTGGGAGGAGTGTTTTTATTTTTTTAAAATGAGTATGACAGCTTTCATAACCATGTCTCCCTGGATATTAAACTCTAAATGAATAATAGCTCAGGGCTCTTTTGTCAATAACTTGATATGGTTGATCAGTTTCTGGTAAGATCAGCATGTAGTTATTCATTTAAGATGATAAAAAATGGGCATTATGCAGTCACACTACCTCATTCTTACTCTTTCTTTATACCTCAGTGCATCCTACCTAGTTGCATGTCTGTTTCTTGAGTTAGAAGGAATCTTAATAGCATCTTTCTCAAGTACTATTCCCATTGGTGTACTTTCTCTGTTCTTGGCTCAAGTCTCAGGAAGTAGATCATTACTTAAAAGAAGCTTGTGACTCTCAATCCCAGCTGCCCTCCTATTCTTTCCTCTGTAGGACAGCCCATGTACTCTCGTGAACATGGTGCTGCTGCATCTGAGCGACTTCAGTTGGGGACACCGCCTCCTCTGTTGGCAGCTCGTTTGGTGCCACCTCGAAACCTCATGGGATCCTCCATTGGGTACCATACCTCAGTCTCCAGCCCCACCCCTCTGGTCCCAGGTAAGCTTTGCTACAGATGGCCATCCACCTCTGATCTTTTGTACCATAAACTGGCCAACCTAAGAGGTGACCTGGTATCCTGATCTGCTATCACAGATTCCCATTAAAGCTCCCAGGTGGTTTTGTTTTCTGTTTCTCTGCTCCTTTGGTTTGTCCCTAGTGCTGCTAGATGATTAGGCCCCCTGTGTGTCTGTCATCTCCGGTGTCCTTTGTATTTACTTTCTGTGCCTCGGTAACTAAGGTCATGTGAGTTTCTTGAACTAGTTTTTAATCCAGCAGATAGGAAGAATATCTACTTGAATGTTTTCTAATCAGTTATATGTTACAAGAAAAGCTAGGTTAATTTTTCTCTAAAACAAAACAAAAACATGTGGTTTCTTGCTGATCATGGATGAACATGTGTTTTTCCCCTCTGCCCTGTTGTTTGGAATGACTGTGTATAATGATTTCTTGAAAACTTTTCCCTCCTATTGACATTTTTGAAGATCTGGAGTGCTTTGAGGGTGTCTCATGAGGTTTTTAACATTTTTCACTTTGCCTTTAGATCTCAATTCATCATAATTAACTAAAGGACCTTCAATTTTCTTGGGGTTCTGTGTGGTCCCAAGAATTATTAGAACAAGGCTATTTGATTATATAACTCTTTTTTTTTGCAGCCTTAATATAGGAGATTTTTCTGTCAGGAGTACCAACTTGTATTAATAACTGGAAACTCTTTAATCATAATTTGCTGATCTTATACTCTGAACTACAGAACTGATTGGCTAGTAATAAAAATGTAAAAGGTACCTTATCTTGTAGCTAAAACCTAATATGAGCAACAAAGGAATTTTTCCATTAAGGAAAAAAAGAGATGCAAGGATTTATAAATGCATTTGAGAGAATCATTGTCTTCACTCCATCTTAACCTTTCTTTGATTCTGTGTAGGATGCGGAGGATGTTTTGGAGATCAACACTTTCAGAATGTTTTTTCAATGCTTATAAAATATTTATTTAGCATTAGAATTTTAAAAATTAAATTTTTAAGAATTTCCCTGGTGGTCCATTGGTTCAGATTCTATGCTTCCACTGCAGGAGCTTGGGGTCCATCCCTGGTTGGGAAATTAGGATCCCTCATGCTGTGCAGAGAGTGGCCCCCAAGAAACAATTAAATATTCAGTTGTAGAGAAAATATAGAGAAGATGATAAAAATGTGTTGATGAGGCAGATGGTAGTAAGATAATGATTACATTTGTAAATACAAAATTTAGCTTATTTAGCTGTTTGAAATACAACATTTAAAATATGTTTTACATATGAAATTGACTCTTCTCTCTAGTTTAAAGTGCAAATAGCCAGGGACTTCCCTGGCCATCCACTGGTTAAGATTTCTGCACTTCTTATGCAATGGGTGTGGGTTTGATCCCAGTTGGGGAACTAAGAGTCCGCATGCTGTATAGTGTGGCCAAAAAAAAAAAAATGCAGATAACCAAGTTAATAGATGTATTGTTTCTTTCCTAATTAAAAGAATACCTAGAAAGTGGTGAGACATGATTACAGAGGAAACTCAGTCATTTGTGTATGGTGTTTGTATATGTGAACATTTCTCTTAAAAATGTGCAGTGAAGTTTGAATTATGTAGTTATTATAGAGGACAAAAATGACATTAGGTGAATGAATCCAGAAACATATCCATAATTCAGAATGGATTTGCATGTCTGTGTTTTGTGACTGGAGCATTTTTGTTTCTTTGATGTTTAGTAGGTTTTATCTATATACTCTTAATTCAAAGACAAATATATGTGGATTGATAAAATTTTATTTGTTGAAGAAAATTCATTTTTATGGTTATTTTATAATAAGAAATTGTTTACTCTTGATTTTTACATGTTCTGTTGTTTTGTTTTCCCTCAGATACCTATGAACCTGATGGTTATAATCCAGAAGCTCCTAGTATTACCAGTTCTGGTAGATCTCAATATAGACAGTTTTTTTCAAGAACACAGACACAGCGCCCAAACCTGATTGGCCTAACATCTGGAGATATGGATGCAAATCCAAGAGGTGATACTGCCTTTAACTTTTTGTCATGCTAAATGTCATTTGGGCATGGCATTTCTGACCTCACTAAGGTCTAAAAATACTTTATCTCTGAAGGGTGTTATGTAATGACCTCTCATAAATGTTTTTGAATATCTGTGTCCAAATGTTACTTTAAAGCTTTAAGCAGAATGTATTTATTTTTAAGTAAAAATAATACTAATGTTGACTAATTGCTCTTTTTTAGGACTTTAGGCTATTTTAGGCACTGTGCTGGATGTTAGATATAGAAAGAGGACATGATCCCTCTTCCTCCAGGAATAAAATCATTTAATGGCCTACTTTGCATTTTAAGAGCTGTGCTTCATACTAATAACACAGAACTTAAAACACTGTCATAAAATTATTCTTTGACTGTTGTTAGTATTCATGATTATAACTGTATGTTAGGACCTTTATAAAGTATAGCCACAAATCTTAAAAGATGAAATGCAAGTATTGCTTTTAATATGGGTTGATATCTCCACTCAGAAAAAATTTGGTTAAAGAGTTTGATGAGATTCTGGTTTCTTATAATAATAGTCAGATTTCCAGCATTTAATTTCAGTTTGAATGATTGGCCATAGGCCATCCTGATAATATTTTCCTGGTTTAATCATCTGGTAGACATTTTCCTTTTCTTAACCTTCTTATCCTGATTGTATTTACTGTTCTTTATTATCTCTCGTATTCCTTACCACCAACTCCTTAAATGAGGTACTATTAATATTTTTACTCTCTTTTAACAGTGAAAGACACTCAGGCCAACTAAAAGAGGCTAGATTAATTAGCTCATTAACCTAATTCCAAAGAATAGGCTCTTTTTTCCTGTGCTGTAATGCACATATTGTTACCAAATTAGTGGGAAGATCATGGTTTCAGCCCCACAGTTGTTATTCTTTGCTATTGATTTTACTTTTGGTAGAGTTGCTTAAAGTCATAAAGAATACTCAGAATGTAACATGTGTACTTTTGTGTTGGTATTTGCTTTTTTTGTTCAGCACACCTCTTTCCACTGACAACCTGTTGTAAGGTCAGTGTGTTAATACAGTGTTGGGTTGGCGAAAGTTGTTTGGGATTTTCCATAATATCTTTTGGAAAAACCCAAGCGAACTTTATGACCAACCCAATATTTTATTAGCCCTGACTATTGTGAATGAAATGTGTTAATTTATAATATTAGCTTTGAATTTTCCTTTCATCTTTTAAGTTTGAAGCTACAAATCAGAAGTGCAATAAGCCCCTAGACACGTTGACTTAGATTCACCAGTTGTTGACGTTCTGTCAGCTTTGGGCCTGAATGCTCACTGGTGTGCACTCCTCTCTCCCTTCCTCCCCTCTCCCTTTACAGTTTTTTCTTGAGTCACTTGAAAATAAATTTTAGAGATTCTGACACTTTAAGATCCTTTAGACTACATCTGAGAAAAAGACACAGTACTATATGAGCACAATATTGCCACACATAGGAAAATCATAATTTCATAGTAATATCGTATCCATGTGAACCTCTTGTTGAATCATATAAGGAGATAAATATTTCACTCTGTTTATGGTCTAATAAATTTGATCACTTACCTAGAGCAGTAATTGTTTAGCTCTCTGTTGTAAAGTATATAATTTGTAGAGTGGTACTTTGGCATCAGGTTAAATATCTCATTCTCCAGCACTGTTACACTGATTTTTTTTTTTTCCCTTTCCATTCATGATCCTTGCTTGACTCAGTCATTAGATTAGAGTTGGCTAGGACTTTTTAAACATGCATATTGTATCTTTAAAAAAGGGGGAAAGGGAGTCAATTGATAATTTATTCTTACTGTTAAACATTTCTGAAAAGGAAGTGGTAATATTAGGTACTATTCACAGTGATTTTTAACTTTTGGACTAAATATTTTAATCATTTGAAATTCCCCAAATATAATGCATTGCCAGTAATGTTAATTTTTGTTTTCAACAGCTGCTAACATCGTCATCCAGACTGAACCACCGGTTCCTGTTTCAATTAATAGTAACATAACCCGAGTAGTTCTTGAACCTGATAGCCGGAAAAGAGCTATGAGTGGTTTGGAAGGGCCACTTACAAAGAAACCTTGGTTGGGAAAGTAAGAGAATTTGCTTATTAGTAACATCTAATTGATGTTTTTGGCTTTTTGCTTGCATTAGTAAATTTGTAAAATTAAGAGTTGTCATTAATTATTAATTTTCAATCTATGTGTATCAAAGCTGAGGTTCCCAGAGGCATCATTAGTATGTCTTATATGTTAAAAAGTCAACAGAATATTCACAACAGATATTAATAATTTCTAGGCCTAACCCAGTTTTATAATTATTGAGACATCAGTCTTTCTTTGCACCTGTTCTGCTGTTATGTAATAAGGATAATGTGAAAGTTACCTACTAATATCTGAAGGATGTTAAGTGCTTAAAGAAGACACTTGAATAAATATAAACTTACATTCTTTGCTGATTATCTCTTGCCTAGGGCATAATGTAAGAGAATTAACTAAGATCTGTTAATATTCCTTTCAGACAAGGGAATAACAATCAGAGTAAACCAGGATTCTTGAGAAAGAATCAGTATACAAACACCAAATTAGAAGTCAAGAAAATCCCTCAGGAATTGAACAACATTACCAAGCTCAATGAACACTTCAGCAAATTTGGAACTATTGTTAATATCCAGGTAGGTGTGGCTATGTTGGTGACAGAATCCATGTATATAATGTGTTTTTTAAAGATCGATCTATTTTTGGCTGCACTGGGTCTTCACTGCTGTGTGGGGCTTTCTCTTGCTGCTGCAGGTCTCTGTTGCAGTGTGCAGGCTTCTCTCGTGAAGCACAGGCTCTCGGTGTGTGGGCTTCAGTAGTTGTGGCACGTGCGCTTAGTAGTTACGGCGCATGGGGTTAGTTGCTCTGTGGCGCATGGGATCTTACTGGACCAGGAATCGAACTCTTGTTCCCTGCATTGGCAGGCAGATTCTTAACACTGGACCATAATGTATCTTTGGAAACAGCTCACTTTTGCTTAAACAAATCAGTGATTAGTTTGATCATCTCTGCTATGTGTTTTAAATCCCACCATGTATTTGTATGCCCAGCTTTACGTTGAAATTGTGCTGAATTTGTCCTCTGAATTCACTTGGTTTCTTTCTGAACCTCTTCCTGAAAGACATTGGGCTGATTATTATATCTTTGTTCATAGTTTTATGTCTGGACAAATGACTTTTTTTTACCTGCTTTAGTATTCTAACTAGGTAGTGAGATTTTTAGTAGTTTCTAAGATTGTATTTTTGTCTACTGAACTGGCTTTTGTGAAATATTAATTGATTAAGCTTGGTTCTAATTATGAGAATTTTAGATACTAAAATTTAACATCAGGTAAATCATAGCTTTTATATTTTGCTATGTGCTTGCTAATTTTTTGAATTTACCAACTTGGCGGTTGAGTGTTATGCTGTAATTGAGGGTAATATATTAGAAGATCTGTTTAAATTGGTATTTCAGCCCATTTACTTAGTGTTGCCATAAAATCAAAATATAGTTTACCTATCTCTAGCTACCTTTTTTCTCTTAAATTGTTCCTAGGTCATTATTGTTCCTAGGCATTTAGAAAAAGTAGGTAGCTTAATGTAGATGAGTATATTAGTCTGCTTGGGTGACTATAACAAGTACCATAGCCTGGAACCCAAGATACTAGCCTATATGGATCCTGACTTGCAGATGGCACCTTCTTGCTCTATGTCCTATCTGATTAGGGTCCTTTCCCTTTGATCTCATTTAACCTTATTTACCTCCTAAAAGCCCTGTGTCCAGATGCAGTCTCACTGGGGGTTAGGGCTTCAGTGTATGAGTTTAGTGAGGACATAATTCAGTCCATAGCAGTAAGCCATAATTTATATAAGCACTATTCTCTGGGGCAATTTACATTGTTGTTGTTTTTTAATAGAAACAATGCTATGTTAAGGCTCCTTTTGGATAAATGTTTTTATTTTTATTTTTTATGACACATTGCTGAAATTAAGGAAATTTTAAAACTTTTCATTTGAACAGCCAAATTGATACTCTCAAATGCAATTTATGAAGCCTCATCTAAACTATAATATGGATCCATTAAAAATTTTTAGAGTAGTTTCATAAGTGAAAAATCGTACTTACTTGAATTTGCTTTGTTTTTATTCCTAGGTAGACTCTAATTGATATACACCATTTGTAATACTTTCGCATTTACCTATCCACTGTCTTTGCTCTTTTTTTTTCCATTTATTTTTATTAGTTGGAGGCTAATTACTTTACAATATTGTAGTGGTTTTTGCCATACATTGACATGAATCAGCCATGGATTTACATGTATTCCCCATCCCGATCCCCCCTCCCACCTCCCTCTTCATTTTTTTAAATGAAGGCATTATAAGGCTTTTCCAAACCTTTGCTTGTCATATATATTAAAATTACTTTTTCATTTTGTCATTTGTTCATGACTTGTTTGGACTGACAGTGGTTTAAGATTTTACTTGATCAAATCTGCTGTTTGTCTTTATGGTCCTGCATTTATAGATGTGTTGTAAAAAGGCTTTCCAGACCTTCAGAGTATACAGATGTTCACCTCTTCTCCCTGGGTTTTTGTGGGTTGTTTTGTTTATTGTAAAACATTTTCTGTCTCTGGAGTTTATTTGGATGTAAGATATCAGGAAGGAATTCTTATATCTTTTCCAAGTGGTTATGTAACATCACTAGGATTATTTATTAAATAATCTAGTATTCTTTCATATATAACGTTGAAATACATATGTTACCTTATAAGAGAGAACTATCTTTATTTACATAGACTTCACAATGGATTTCAGCAGGCTGTTTTCTGCTTTTGAATTCTTTATCAGTAATTTATTTATTTACTTGCTTATAATCATTCATTTCTGTGTTTTGTTGTTGCTATTGTTTTTTCTTATAGGTTGCTTTTAAGGGAGATCCAGAAGCAGCCCTCATTCAATATCTTACTAATGAAGAGGCCAGAAAAGCCATTTCTAGCACTGAAGCAGTTCTAAACAACCGGTTCATTCGAGTCCTGTGGCACAGGGAAAATAATGAGCAACCAGCACTACAGTCTCCAACGCAGCTGCTCCTGCAGCAGCAGCAAACGCTTAGTCACCTGTCACAGCAGCACCATCACCTGCCGCAACACCTCCACCAGCAGCAGGTGCTGGTGGCCCAGTCTCCTCCCTCGTCCGTACATGGGGGGATTCAGAAGGTAATCTGCTGGTTCACAGGGAACTAAAGGCCCCTTAGGCCTGTCCCCTAGATCGTTGTGTCTCAATTTGTTGTCTTTGGTCTTCTACATCAGAGCCAGTCATTTTGGTTTGTAGGCCAGCAACGTCTGATCTCCTTGGAGCTTATTAGACATGTAATTTGGGGCTTCACCTCAACTTACTGAATGGGGAGGACTCAGTAATCTGTTTTAATAGGCTGTCCATGTGATTTTTAGGTACCTTGAAGCTTGAGAAGCACTGTGCTAGAATCACTTACCTGGATGCACATTTTTTAATCTTACCTTCTCAGATCTACAGAGTCAGTCTCTAGATACAAGGCCCATAAATCTTCACATTTAAGAAATACCTTCTTCTCAACACTCAGTTACTATAACCATCCACCACTGAACAACTCTGAATCTAGAACAACTTCTTTGTTTTGTGTTAGAATCAATCACTCTTATACCCACCATCTTGTCCTATTTTTTCTCATATAGAAATATTACATTTCTTTTAAAACTGAAATGGGAGCCCAGGAGACTGGGATTTTGTCTGTTTTATTTGTTCCATCCCTGGTGCCTAAAGCAAGGCGTGGCACATAGTGCTCTAAACATATTTGAATGAATAGATGAACGAAGGAAAGAGCAAATCACCCTGCAGTAGAACTATTCAGATATTGGTGATGTTGATAATGTCCTAGGCATTCTTTTGTTTGAATTAAATATACTCAGATAGAATAAGAAGCATGTTCCTTAACAGGACCTAGTATTAGCTCCATTCACCATCCTGTTTATTTGCAGTAAAGTTTGCATTTCTTTTGTCTCTGTCCCATTTCATGTTAGGTCCTTAAGGTAAAGGCTTTCCTTAGTGTTGGCTAAAGGGTGTTTAAAAGTAATACAGTCATTTCTGTGATCCATTAGACCCCATGCTGTTAATGCAGCCTGAGATTATGTTATGTTTTTAGGGTAGTCCTATCACAGTTACTCATATTAAACTGTCAAAACCCGTAAGTCTTTCAGCATTACATATTGAGGGGATCATTGAAAAATTACTAATTTTATTTGTGAGTACATACACATATATTTGCATTATGTTGTGATATATTTCAGACATCCAAAAGAGTATGGATAATAGCAGTTATTTGTATGTCTACCTCTTCACTTAAAAAACCTTATAAATAATAGAAACACTCTACCCTCATATTCCTGTGTCTTCCTCCCCAGGGTAATCACTGTCCTAAATTTGTATCATTCCTAGGCATTTAAAAAACTTCTGCCACAAATGTATTTATTTTGTATATGCAGATGATGAGCAAACCGCAGACATCAGGGGCATATGTTCTTAATAAGGTTCCTGTGAAACATCGTCTTGGACATGCCAGTGGTAACCAGAGTGATGCAGCACACTTGTTGAATCAGTCAGGTGGTGCTGGAGATGATTGCCAGGTATATCTCTTTCTGTGAATCTTTAAATATATTTAGAGTTGGAGTTGTTCAGTGACACAAAGAAATTAACAAATTGATTATCACCCAGATTTGTAATGTCTTAGTTCCTCAGTCAAGATAGTTGTGACAGCTCATCATAAATATGGCTGGTCAACTTGCCTAAATTTCAATAATTCAGCCAGAAATTTGCTAATTAAATTTTCTTTTCCTATTCAAAGCTAGGTGTGAGTTGAGAATTTTAGCCATTTATTAATAGATGTCTTTATTAATCCATTTCTTTAATCATTTGTCTTGCTTAATTAACATCATGAAAGGGATTCAGTCATAATTCAAAAGTCAAATTTTGAAACATATTTTTAACTAGTTTCTTTTGCTTTTGAAAATATATCTATATGACTGCTCTCTAGAATGGTGATTGTTTTTTCCTAAGAGAGGTAGGAAAACTAAAAAAGAACAAGTGGGGATAGTTCTCCTAGATATTAAAAACACTGTGAAGTCTGTACGACTCAAACAATTTGATACTGGCACATGAGAGAGCACTAAAACACAATCTGAGACTGAGATTTATAGACTTAAGAATAGGGATATATTATATGCTAACACATTATCTGAGATCAGTGGGGAATGTATGGACTTTTGGGGAATGGTATTGGGATGACTGGATAGCCTGATGGAAAAAAAAATTTTTTTAAATACCTAACAAACCAGAGTAATTTCTACAAGGATCTGAAATTTATATGCTGACAGAGATGCTAAATGGTACAATCCCCTTGAAATTTGGCGTTGTCTATGAATTATGCTGTAAAATTATGTACACATTTACTCTAAACCAGTAATCCTCCTCTAAGAATCTATGCCAAAGATGTACTTGTCAAGCTATGGAAAGAAGTGTGAGCAAGACCAGGAAACATAGACTCTTTTCAATAGTGAAAGACTGGAAACAGTCCAAATATCAGTCAGTAGGTGATAGGTTACTAAAAATGTAGTACATCCACCCTATAGCATATGTGTAACTTTGCAGAGGAATGAGGACTATCTTTATATATACCATGAGGTGATCATCAGGATACGTTAAGTAAAAGAAATAAAATGGAACAAAAAATGTAGTCAGCCACTGTTAGAAAGTAGGGGCAGTGAACACATGTAAGTATTTGTTTATAATAGGAAAAAAAAAGTAACCCATGTAATTTAAATCTTGGTGGTATCTTGGTAATTTAAATCTTGGCAGGGATAGACGAAACTAGACAACTTTAAAAACCTCCGGAACATTTCTCAATTCTGTCCACTAAAAAGGTCTAGAAACACTAACCCAGCCTGATGGAAATGACCCTGACACTCCTGTCCCCAGCATCAAAAGGAACCAGGGATCCTTGAAGAAATGTCTGTTCCCAAATCTGGGGCTGACAGTGTTCAGATGAGCCCTAGAATATTTTGTCAAACCAGAAAGCAAAGAATTTGTCAAAGATTACTAGCATCCTTTCAGAGTGAAAAAATGTCATGAAGACATTAGAACTCTTCACCAATTTAAAGGAAATTCAGAGGTCAGAGAAACATGTTAAAGGATACCATAGAATCCTGTGGTGAATACAACAGGACAAGTGACCTGGTCTCTTCAACAAGTGATTTACAGTGATGGAGGGACTTCCCTGGTGGTCCGGTGGCTAAGACTTCATACTTCCAGTGCAGGGGGCCCAGGTTTGATCCCAGATTAAAGAACTAGATTCCACGTGCTGCAGCTAAGACCCAGCAGAGCCAAATGAATGTTTTTCTTTATTAAAGGAAAGCTGTGGAGAGGGAAACAGAATTAGAGGAGACTTTAAAGAAATATAACCAATTATACTATATGGACTTTCAGTTCAGTCGCTCAGTCGTGTCCGACTCTTTGCGACCCCATGAATCGTAGCATGCCAGGCCTCCCTGTCCATCACCAGCTCTCAGAGTTTACTCAAACTCATGCCCATCAAGTCGGTGATGCCATTCAGCCATCTCATCCTCTGTCGTCCCCTTCTCCTCCTGCCCCCAATCCCTCCCAGCATCAGGGTCTTTTCCAATGAGTCAACTCTTCGCATGAGGTGGCCAAAGTAGTACATCCTAATTCAAATATGGGAAAATGTTTTGAAAATTATATTGTAATCTGGAGTTGTAAATATTTAATGATTTTAAAGAATTGTTACCATTTACGTGTGATGATTGTATTGTGGTTTTATGTAAAAAAGGAAAGAGTCCTTATCTTTTAGAGATAAAACTGAAATACTCACAAGGACTTCCCTGGCAGTTCAGTGGTTAAGATTCCATGCGTCAGATGCAGGGGGCATGAGTTTGACCCCTCCCCTGTTCAGGGAACTAAGATCCCATGTACCTCAGGGTGAAGCCAAAAAAAAAAACCACAGATAAAATAATATGTGGTGTTTGTTATGAGGATACAGTTGGGAATTTAAATATAACAATGTTATTTTACATAAAATAGTGTAAATTGATCATTGCTGCTTGGTGATGGGTGCATCATTTTATATACATATGTAATTTTGTACTTCTCTTTATTTTTTTAAAAATCACCAATACTAAAAAATGGAAAACCAAAAACAATCACAGTTTTTGAAGTCACACGGTGCTGACTGACTCTTAATAGCTGTGTTAGATAATTGACAAGCATTGGTTTCCATTTTAATAAACTTAGTTGCTATGGGGATTAAAAAATTTCGTGTTGGTAAAACACAAAAGAATATATTAAGTGCTCAGTAAATTATAGCTATTGGCATTTTTATTTTGATAAATAATTATAACAACATGAACATCATATGTACAGATTTCTACAGTATTTCAATTTCCTGTGTATTTAAAATGGTTTAATTTTTAGGGCAATTAAGTGTTGTTTGATCGAGAGAAGTTTTGTATTTATATATATTACATGACTGAATTTTCCACAAATTTCTTAGTATTATATCTAAGTATTTATAATTTCTTAGTATTATACACATTTTTCTGTGTCCCTTATATGATGTGTTCAAAGTTAATTTAAAAAATAAGAGTGGAGTATGTTAGGGAAAACTTGACCAGAGAGATTGTAGTATAGTATGTTGCTCTGCTATGCCTTTAAGAGGGGAAGATTATCTGGAGTCATCTGTTTGTAAAGAAATCTAGATAGCAAAATGAGCAGAGTAAAGACGGACACCATTTTGCTTGCAGCATTAGATCTGTGAGCTGGCTACCTGTCTTATGGTTGGTTGTAACATTTGCAAAGTACCTTACTTCTTAGGGGGGTTTGCAATTATTAGAAACATGGATTTTTATTTGACAGTTGTGGAAGATAGCTTAATGACATTAGCCACCCCACCCCCGTGAAAGACCTCCACACACACATCTTTAGTTGAGCAAGTTGAGTTTATTATTCATTGAGGAAGTATACACAGTGAAACCATGGAAAATGTCATTTAGAGGGTGTTAGCAAGGGCTTATTTTAGGATTGGCTGTGTTAGGTAATTTGGGGGAAGGTTAAAAGAAAGAGGAGTAATGGTATGATCAGAATTCCTAATAAGTTTACCTAGAAGGAGGGAAGACCAGAATTAGGCCAAAGCTGTATTTGGTAAAGAAGCTGTAGTCATTCATATTAGCCAGGATAGAGTTTAGTCATTTTATGGTTTGGGTAGTATTTACAGGTTTTTTTGTGTTTAGTCATTCAGTGATTTTATTTTTGCCTTGATCCACCAAGATCCACAAGAGTGGCCTTGTCTGAAGTCAATATATTATGAAATTGTTCATGTTTAACAAGGGGACACTGAGGCCCAGCTGTGAGTGGCAGTCTGGCTCCTAGATGTCGAGTAGTTGTTCTTTTTCTCCCAATTAAAAAAATATAAAGAAAAGAAAATTTTCTTTATATTCAGGAATGCAACATTATTGCTAAAAAGTTTTTGTATTTGAATGATAATTGAGTTTATATATAAAGAACTTGTTTTATAAATGGAGAGTTTTTAAATGTAAAAATAGCCAAAACTTTACTCCTTTAAAAAATTTATGCAGTCTTTTTAAAAAATTATTTTAAGGCATTGCTAAGATTTAATCATATATGTGTTTTGTAGATATTTTCAACTCCAGGCCATCCAAAAATGATTTATAGCTCAAACTTAAAGACACCTTCAAAACTTTGTTCAGGATCAAAATCTCATGATGTCCAAGAAGTTCTTAAAAAGAAACAGGTAACAATCTTGATTCTTCTTCTCTTCAAAAAGAAAGGATCTATTGAATTCTTAAGTGATTGTATTAATAAACTTGAACAATCCAATGTTGGTTTGGAGCTACTACATTATAATGTTTATTTAACTGCTACTTGATGCATTGTATACTTGCAAAATGTTTTGCAGTTAGTTGCTTTAGTAGCTACATCAAGCACAAGGAAAGAAATTTTTTTTTTTCTATATAAAAATTAAAGACACTGAGTGAGTTGACCTTTTATTTCCTTTTTTTCCTACAAGGCAGAGAAAAGGGCGAGAAACAGATATTTTTGTTCCATTATTTTCTCTTAATTTCTTTCTGGCTTTGTACACTAGATATTGTTTCACATGAAGTATAACAATAATTATCATCTTAGATTTAAACTCACATAGTTTTTCAAATAAAATAGACATTTATATATATATTACCTAAGTATAATTAGAGATTTAATTAACATAAGGGTCAGAGGTGACATTTTCCAGATAGATTTTGCTATCATTTCTAACCTAGAGCTGCATCTCACATTTTTAGACTTTAAACTTCAAAAATAAGGATTTGACTTATTACATGGGGAGGTGAAAACAGCTCTTGTTTTTCTTTATATATGCATTCAGGTCTTTTAAGTGAATAAACCTCATAGATACAGCTAATTTGTGTTCAGTATTTTAAATGTTAAAGTACAATTATAAATGTAAACTTTGATATTGGAAGTGTTGGGAAAATAGATTTAAAGATTTCATATCTGGTCAGCTATTTTTTGATTAGGAGGAAGAGCTGTCTTGTATAAGGAATGACTCAGGGGAGATGAGTTGAGATACAGTAGCCTTATGTATCATTGGCAGACTTGTAAGGAAAAAATTAGTAATGAGAAACTTACCTGTTTGTACAGGAAGCAATGAAGCTACAACAAGATATGAGGAAAAAGAGGCAAGAAATGTTAGAAAAACAAATAGAATGCCAAAAGGTAAGACAAACATTCATTATTTCCTTGCTGGAATTTATGTACAGAGTGGATTTTCCAAAGATATTCCCCCCAAAATTTTCAAGGTTATTTGTATTAGAATTTACTAAGCATAGTTTTACTTTTTTTGTTGTTTATTTTATAGATGTTAATATCCAAGCTAGAAAAAAACAAAAACATGAAACCAGAAGAGAGAGCAAATATAATGAAGACTTTGAAAGAGCTTGGAGAAAAGATCTCACAATTGAAAGATGAGTTAAAAACATCTTCTGCAGTCTCCACACCATCTAAAATAAAGACAAAAACAGAGGTAATTGTTTGCATTTTTCTTTCAGCATAGGCTTATTGAACATTTGTGGTGTGCTTGGCACTTTGAAAGTACAGTGGAACCCTTAAGTGACTAGCGTGAGACACTAGCAACAATTTTTTTTAATGTTTCTGTAAATGCTATGTACTCCCTTTGAAAGAAATGATACTATCCAGTTTGAACAAAGATGTATTTTTTTAACTGAAATTTTTTTGTTCTTCATGCTGAAGATGTAACTGCTAGAGTAATGACAAGGAAAGAGACATTTCCTCTTTTTAGTTCTTTCCTTAATTCTTTGATTATATTGTAATACAGCCATCTCTTTTAATAGTCAGAAGATAGCATTGACTTTAGTGTGGGTAAAAATATGGCTTTTTATTGAAAACAACAGTCAAAAGTTCTAGATCTATTTAAGTCTAATTTTGTTAACTTCTATTTGTTTCCTTACCATAGGAGAATGCTTGCTTTTACACTGAGGTTCTGTCATTGCTCTACAGCTCTGCAGTAGGATTTTAGATAAATCTGCAGCCCTTTGAGAACTAGAGGGCTTCCCTGGTGGCTCAGATGGCAAAAGCATCTGCCTGCAATGCAGGAGATCTGGGTTCAATCCCTGGGTCGGGAAGATCGCCTGGAGAAGGGCATGGCAACCCACTCTAGTACTCTTTTTTCTTTTTTCACTTTAGTACTCTTGCCTGGAAAATTCCATGGACTGAGGAGCCTAGTAGGCTACAGTCCATGGGGTCGCAAAAAGTTGGGACACGATTGAGCAACTTCACTTCACTTGAGAACTGGGAATAAATTTGTCAGATATATAGAATGTAAATTTTTATATACAGTATTATATTACATTTGAAATTGTGGTTTTCTGTTAGTAAAAGAATGTGTTTCTTTAAGATTGTTTTTTGCATAACATTGTCAACTATATAATCCAATAAAATTTTGTTTAAAATATTAACTTATGATGAAAAGCTTTTAAAATATGTAATAAAAATTTTATTTTTAATTGAAGCTTCCCCAGTTATGGAAAGAACATTTAATTATAGAAATTTAAGAGAAGATGGGGGAAGAATATCTCTCAGAGTCACACCAGCTAAAGACTGATCATTTGTTCCTTTAAAAAAGAAAAAGAGTGGCAATAGTTACAGGGTTCAGATCTGAAAGCAATTATTATAACTGTTGTTAGTAAATTTTTACAATATAATTTATTTTGTAACATTGTGTTTCAGTTATGATGTTTTATTATGTGATAATCGTTCTCAGCTCCCTCATCTCAGATGACTGTTTTCAGTGTCTGATTTTTAGGCCATCTTAAGCATATTGTAATACTACTTATTAAACAGTAATACTTTTTATTGTTATTACTGATAACATTATACTCTACATGTTTTCAGTATTATATCTGTCAAGTTACTTTCCTTAAAACACCCAGAAGAGATTTCATGCTTTCACATTTACCCAGAAGAGATCTGTGTCATTCTAAAAGTGTAATATTCTGAACAAGATTTTGTAAGTTGTCTAAAAAATACATTTTTACTCTTAATTTTTCAACAGGCCCAAAAAGAACTATTAGATACTGAACTGGACCTTCACAAGAGGCTATCCTCAGGAGAAGACACAACAGAGTTACGGAAAAAACTCAATCAGTTACAGGTTGAGGTGAGATTAAGAAGATTACCTGTTACAGTTAACATCTCAAAAAATAATATCCCTCTCTTTTCCAAGGTTTAGTCTGACAGTGTATATTATATTCTGCCTTTTGTTATTCAGGCTGCACGATTAGGTATTTTACCTGTGGGTCGAGGAAAGACCATGTCCTCTCAAGGTCGAGGGAGAGGCCGAGGCCGTGGAGGGAGAGGAAGGGGTTCACTAAATCACATGGTGGTGGACCACCGCCCCAAAGCACTCACAGTTGGGGGCTTCATGGAAGAGGAGAAAGATGACTTACTTCAGCATTTTTCAGTAAGTTTTTAAAGTAGTAAGTGTTAACTATAAATTCATTGTATTCAGCATTTCCTTGCTGCCTTCTGTATAAATGTCAAATGTTTTATAGATTAGAAAATTAAGTTGTAAAATCATGGATATTAGCACATTCCTGCTAATATATTTGAAGGTCAAGAAGTAGCTCATGCTATATTCTGTAATATTTCACATAAATGCATTTGTAGTGACAAAAGTTGTTCCAAAGATATATTTGATTTTTGCTTTAGGGTTTATTACATCTTTTACCAGGTGTTTACATGGCTTAGGTACCAATAAGTGAAAATAGTCTGGGATGGAGATGAAATCCAAAGGAAAAATTTGTTAGGAGAAGTGTCATGCTTAGTTATATTCTGTATACAGTGATGACCACTTACTTTTAGACAAACATTTAAATAAATATTTGCCACAGATAAAGTTTCTGTTATTTTGCATATATTCTCTTTCTAACCATTCATTAATTCATTCAGTAAATATTTTCTGAGTGTTATTTGTGCTAGAGCATTTTCATGCATGAAATAACTGTATAAAGTACGTGTAAAATCCCATGTGTAAAGATGGGAAAAGTGAAGCTTAAAAAAGTCAATCGAGATCATACAGTTAATACGTGGCAGGACCAAGGTGATAATATACAGTTCACTGTTAACATCCAAAATCCCTATTCCTCAAACAACTTTTTTGAGAGAAAGCATTTTCAGCCCTAAAGATGGTGAAGGAAATCTTAACACAGCAAGACTTCACACTATTTTATTAGTTTGATGCCCCTGCTTTGCCCTGGCCATTGGAGAACACTAGCTTGTTATAAAATGTCCAGATTTTTAGCCATCTTGGCTGTAGCCTGTTTACTCTTGAGCCAGTTCTTTCACTAGTCTGACCGTAATTTTTTTTTTTTTGTAAAGTGAAAGATTGTCTTTAAGAGACTTCTTTTAGGAGTAAAGAAGGTAACGTGTGGAGGAGCACTGTACGTGTGCAGGGTGTTCTTCTGGAGCCCAGGTTAATGTTGATTTTTGTCTTTCAGTGTTGATTATATAACATTTGAATCTCCTTGCCAAATAGTTGGGCATTTAGATCCATGGCCAGCTCTGCTGAGGTGACATTAGGTAATATAAATCAGAATTTTCATAAATTTGGCTCTGCAGAAAGTTTTTGTTAAAAAAGGAGCTTATCTTGTGGGATAGGAAGCCACTTTGCTGTATCCTAAGGGTTACTGGAGATGTATATGTAAATGTTTAAGTTTTAACCCAGAAGTCATGCTCAATTGGCTCTCTGCCCTTCTCAGAAGTAGAGTCATTATAATAGAGTATTTATAATAACCAACTTTTACATATATGCTTTTTTTTAAGTCTGAAATATAACACCCTCTGCATTATGGGATATGTCCAGATATTTGGGGAAGGAGCAAAGAAAGCCAAGGCACATGAGCCAACTTAAAGAACAAGACACTATTATTAGTTTTGATGGTGTTTTGTAGTTTGTTTTTTGTTTTGACAGGGTGCTATCAGACAGCCTTGAGTGCTAGAAAAAACTCTGGTAACAGGTACTTGGACAGTATTGTATGCTTTCTTTGGAAAAAAAAAATACAGAAATACATATGCCTGAGACGTTATTGAGAGTAGATTTGACAAACTTACAGGGCAGCTCTTCTTTGAGGTATTTCATATCTCACAAAGGCTAGTAAAATGTATGTTTTCAGTATCCTTTTACTGTCCTTAATGATTGTGAAAAGCTCATTGAGCAGCTGTATCTGAATGTAAAGATGGTTGATGGGTTTTAGTGAAGCTATTTTGAAGTGTGTCTTATTTGGTTTTTTTCTTAACGTTATATTTCTGAGATTTATTCATGTTATTACATGTAACAGTAGTTTGCTATTTTTATTTCTGTATAATTTTGAGTTGTATAAATATACCACAATTTACTTTTCCATTCTCCTATTGATAGGTATTTGGATTATTTCCATTTCATTTTTATGAACAGTGTTGCAGTGAACATTATTTTAAATGTCTTTTAATATATGTATGCATTTCTGTTGATGTAGATGGAACTGTTGAGTAAACTCAGTTAGGTTAGTTTAGTTTAGTTAGTGTAGGTTCCGTCAGTGTTGTGTGAGAGTTTCTGACTTGAACTTAATGTTAGAATACATCTTTATTCTATTTATTAATCTTATTTGTTGCAAGTTAGGTAGTGGGAGTTTTATATTCTTAGTTCGTGGCTGCATGCAAATTAGATTTCTCCTTTTCCTTCAGTAATATTAATAGATATATAATACATTTAATGCCTTAAAATTCCTTCTAGAGGATAGAACTACTGCCTTTTTTGGAAAGCAACCCAGTTAATACAGATTAAAATTTTTATATTGCTTTTTCTTGCTAGTAAAAGTAACATAGCTTCATTTAAAAATTGAAATAACAAAGTAAGAACTTAATGGTGACCGCAGTTGATTAGATTGTATTATATAATTGAAATTTGCTAAGAGATAAGAACTTAAATGTTCTAGCCCCCTTCTTCAACCCCCTCCCTAAAGGCTAAATATGTGAGATATGGATGTATTGATCGAAGGAGGAAGGGTATCTTTTCCCAGTGTTTCAAATCATCACATTGTACACTTTAAATATCTTACAGTTTTGTCAGTTATACTTCAGTAAAATTGGAAAGAACTTAAATAATATAGGAATGAACAGAATACTGATAAAGTCTCTATAATTGGTCATATTATATGTTAAAGGATAGAGTAAAGGATGTTTATTATACAAATTAGGAGCTTCCCTTGTGGTGTGGTGGTAAAGAATTCGCCTGCCTTCCAATGCAGGAGACGCAGGTTCAATCCCTGGGTTGGGAAGATCTGGATCATTCTGGAAACAGAAATGGAAACCCACTCCATTCCATGGACAGTGGAGACTGGCAGTCTGCAGTCCATGAAGTTGCAAAAGAGTCAGACACAACTTAGTGACTGAACAGTAACAACAACAAATCAACAAATTACACAAGTTGCCTTTTTTTCAAGATTTATTAAGATATAATTGACATGTAACACTATTATTTTCAGATGTACAACTTAATGGTTTGCTATACATATATGATTACTAAAATTAATTAGCATCCATCGTCACCTCATATGAGAAAAAATTTTTTCCTAGTGATAAGAACTTTTAATATCTACTTGCTTAGTAACTGCCTAATTTTGAAAAGATGATAAATGTAAACATTTTGACTCGTGGGACATTGAAATGAGTAATTCTGATATTTATTTTCATATGTCCCACGAGTTTTTTGTTTTCTCTTATTGAAATTTGGGGGGGGTGGTAATGTTTAGATGGTAGTAACAAGAAATACATTTGAAACTGAGTAATTTTACCCTGAGGTAGGTAGTATAGTGTTTGATTTCCCAGGTGGCTCAGTGGTAAAGAATCTGCCTACCAGTGCAGGAGACACAGGAGATCTGGGTTTGATCCCTGGTCAGGAAGATTCCCTACTCCAGTATTCTTGCCGGGAAAATTCGATGGACAGAGAAGCCTGGCCAGCTACAGTCCATGAGACTGCAGAGTTGGACACAGCTGAGCACACTTGCAGAAGCAAACAAAAACAAAACCGCAGGATGGTGTTTAACATTTGTGGGATGTTTAGATGTGCCAGGGAGTGTTTGTCATCGTATAGCATTTCATGAAAGGAAGTGGAAATAGTTTCATCAGATATAGATTGGGATAGAAGGGATGTCATGAGATGAATAGATGATTTTTAAATTACTTACATTTGTAAGATTTTACTCTAAATTTGTAATTATCAGCGTGAAAGGTCATAATCATATTAAGGCAGTATTTGTTGTTCTCATCATGATTTTTCTAAGTAGAATGACTGTATATAATTTTTATTCCAAACCAAGACAAATTTTAAAATTTATGTGGCATCAGCATTAATCATGGATTATCCTGGGAAAGCCAGGATAATGGCTTTTCTAATGTTTTCTAATTAGAAATGTTTTTCTAATTAAAAAGAACATCACTTTTCTAGCTCTCATTGGAGATTATTTGTAGATCCATTTTAACAGATTTTTTTTTCCTTCAAATAATCATTAAACTTTTAATAGCACACAATTTGAAGAAATCATTAGTAAATGTGAGTACAAACTTTTGTGTTCTAAAATCTATTTTAGCCTGCAAACCAAGGGTCGAAATTCAAAGACCGTCGGCTACAGATATCATGGCACAAGGCCAAGGTGCCTTCTGTATCCACTGAGACTGAAGAAGAAGAAGTCAAGGAGGAGGTAAATCTAACAGCTGGAAATAAAGGGGATGAATTAGATGGTTTCCAGCTGTATGCTTTTCTTGACATTAAATAATACAAATTTTAAAACGCATAATGAGTTTTTTCATGCGTGTGATTAACACTAGTCTAGAAGCTTATTAAAGAATCAGGACAGGTGCAGAAGTGAAAAAGCTCTTTTGGGGATTATTTTCTTTTAGGAGAGACTATTCTTTTTTTTTAAATTTGCATTTATTTCGGCTTTATTGGGGCTCTGGACATTTTTATTTTGGTAAATAAAGATGTGGATTAAGGGAACAATTCAGTTTTATCTGGTTGTTTTAGTTTTCATATATTCAAGTTCCATAAGTAATAGATTTGAGTTTCTTATTTTCTATGTATAATTCATTGAAGTGAGAGTGTAAAGAAGTTGGACATAAGAGGAAAGAATAGCAAAACCATGGACTTAATATAAGTATTAATCAACTTCTTAAAACAATGGGGACTAATATTGCTTTTTTACTCTTATATTTCTAGTTAGTTGATTAAAGTAGACACTTTAGGGAGCATTGCATGCAAGTTATTCCTCATTCCCTGTAATTTTGGTTTTAAAAGATAACAAGCATTTTTTGGCTGATCAAGAGTTTTCCTGACCAAATGGGTAATTTTACCTAAAGCAGAAAATTTTACAAAAGCAGAAACTTTTCCCTTGTTAAGAACAGAAAAATCTTGGTATTTTGGGAATGTTTGTAGATACTTCGTAATGTTTATAAGATTTTAGATTTTTATGGTAGATATGGAATGTCAGTGTCATAGGGAAGTTATTACATTCTTCCCTCACAAATAATTGGCTTTTAGAGGAAAAATTCAGAAGTTCAAGGGTTATTTATTTTTCTCACTTTTAATATAATAAAATAAAATTAATCAAAAACATGTTTCATAGATACCACCCCCCACTAAACATATGTTTTTTAATTTTCCTGATGATATTAGAATGAAGTTTCCTATTAAACTAAAAAAATTAGCAAGGGAGACAAATATATATATGTATATATTTTTAACATTTTTAGTTTTTCTTGCCCCTAAAGATACTTGGGCTTCCCTGGTGGCTCAGACGGTAAAGCGTCTGCCTGCAATGCTGAAGACCCAGGTTCAATCCCTGGGTTGGGAAGATCCCCTGGAGAAGGAAATGGCAACCCACTCTAGTACTCTTGCCTGGAAAATCCCATAGACAGAGGAGCCTGGTAGGCTACAGTCCATGGGGTCACGAACAGTTGGACACGACTGAGCAACTTCACTTGCAGGCATTGGAGAAGGAAATGGTGACCCACTCCAGTGTTCTTGCCTGCAGAATCCCATGGACCCTCGGAGGAGCCTGGTGGGCTGCCGTCTGTGGGGTCACACAGAGTCAGACACAGTGAATGACTTTACTTACTCACTAAAGATACTCTTGAGTTTTCCACTTATCAGTCCAGCCTGGGCATTGTATACTAGTCTGCTTGGTCTTTGGCCTAAGAAGTACTCTACTTAGCTTTCTTGTGCCACTGAGCAGATTTTACCCTCTTTTTTTCAGGAAACAGAAACCTCAGATTTGTTTTTGCATGATGACGACGATGAAGACGAAGATGAATATGAGTCTCGTTCATGGCGAAGATGAAATCTGATGCGACTTGTATAATTTTTAGGAATATTGTTTAGAAGAACAACTTTTTAAAATTATTTAAAGAAGTCAATGAGCCAAAAAAAAATTGTTTTTTATTTTTCTTTTCGACACAGTAGGTGTAAGGACAGCAAGTTTGCTATTTAAATACATCTCATAACTGTTCATGATATTAAAGCACCAAAGGCCTAGTTGACTTTTACACAGTTGTGAAGATCCACAGGAATGACATGGATAATCTCTAGAGCCTTATTTTCCACACCACCTGTTTTTGTTGCTATTGGTGTTGGATTATGATGTAAATGACAGGGTGTTCAGAAATTTTATTTTGGATTATAATCTGCTGATAAAATTTCATTAAATGTCAAATCGCCTGGAATCTCTTAACTCTCAGCTATTATGGATGGGTCGTCAGACAGTAGGAGATACTTGTAATTAAAATACCCTTCGGCTTTCAAGAGTTGTCTTGGAAGAAATGTAAATTTAGTTTTTTTTATTGAGGCGGAACCCAATTTATATTCAATCAATTTTGGGGGGATTTAATATGCAGCAGTGAGTACTGTCTTAGTGTTAATCATATCTGTTCTTCAGTGCTAGGCAGGCTCTGTGGTATTTCCATTCTGTCATCACATTAACTCTTCTGAACTTCTGCTACTGAGTTTTAGTTTGCTTTGAAATTATCAAGCATTGGTTCAGTTGTGTTTTTTTTTTCTTTTCCTTGTTTTCAGACTATAAAAGGCTTTTATCTGTTGCCCCTTTCTCATCCCCATTTTCTTTCTCCTTCCTTTTTATTAATAGCCTGACTTACCCATTACTGAGATAAGTGATTCTTCGGGGCCACCAAAAGTCAGTCCCCAATAAAAAGTTTAAACCAGCACCTTGATAAATAAGTGATATTTTGATGAGAATGATGGAAGGATTTGTGGGGAGAGTCACCAGCTTTTTTTTTTTAAGCTTCACTTCAGTTAATAGTTATGCAAAAGGGTTTTAAAGTGTCTGAAATGCTTTTCCTAAATTTAAACCATGATGGTGAGGTGACTGGGGGTAGTTTGGGGGTGGGATGGGGAAGGGGGATGGGTATGCTAGTAATAAATGGGAGTCATAACTTGACTTTGATCAGATGACCTTATATTTTCATAATTTTGTAGCTTGTTGCTATCCATGAACATATGCATCTTTCAGTAGACAGTTTCCTTCACTGTGTGCATTTTTACTGTACACTGTATAGAGTAGAGTATCTGTTAAGTAAAATATATCTGTAAATTTATGTCCTTGTGTTCTGAATGTTAGATGGAAAAGCAGAGGAGCAACACTACACTGTATTGACCCCTGGGGAAATAAAATGATTAATGTAAATAGGATATCACTTTTTCAAGGATATACACATCTATGTTTTTGTAATATGTGTGGTGTGAAAATTTGAAACCTCCTGTTGGCTTCAGAAGGTTCTTGGTGATCACCATGTCAAGGATTTTGTTTCCTGAGGTAAAGACTGTTTCTCACAGCAGAAACTATTCACAAAGAGACTTAAAACCATCAGGACTCTAGATTTTTTTTGGCTCTAAGAAGTTAAGTCCCACATTCTGATTATCTTTCCTCTTCTGTATGTTTTCCTGGAATGATGTGTCAAACCAGGATCATTTTTAAGTTTTCATGTAATCCTCCCTTCATAATGATAAGGACTTCCTCTTTCTAGGTTATTACTATATTTCTGATAACACAAAGCTTATAAGAGCAGGAAAACATCACAATGGGGTACCTAGAATAAGCAATCTTGCTCCTTCTTCCTCCATCATCTCTAATGAAATTTTCTTGATGTCTGTGGCTCAGTCGGTATATATTTTGAAAGATTCATTGTGGTGAATATTTTGAGTCCTGACAGTTTAAACGTGATAGAGGGAACAAAGGATTTATATATTTTTTGTACAAAGTTTTTTCTTAAACTGTATAATTTTGTAAATAATTTGTTTGGTTTTTTTTGTGTACTAAAACTACCAGCGTATAGATTTCAATAAGAATTGTTGTATTTTTGTATTTGGAAACTGAAAATTACAGTAAATTAATGGAGCTGTAAGAAAATTTTCAGTAGACTGACAGTTCAGCAGAATGAGATTCCTTTTCATATGATTTTTTTTTTAACCTAAAATTGACATCTTATTACACTCTCAGTACGGAGAGAGTTAAGGATTTGTTTGATTTTTTAGTTTTTGGGGGAGAGGGGGTGAAAGAGAAGGATGTTAAAGTGAAGAATAAATAGACACTTCTTCCAGTAAGTTTTTAGGCCCTTTAAAATGTAATTTTTGATATACCTTAAATAGGACCAAAACACTTTCAAAATGTCATTTCTAATGTTTGACTCTCAAAAATAACTCAAAATATGCATTAAATATTGGAAAATTTAAGTTAAGGTTAGTGTAAACTAGTTGAATGTATGTATTTTTTCCTTTAGGGCTGAGATCCCAAACCATTAGAATCTCTCTTAAAAGCGAGTAAAGATGACTTGTTTTCTTGGCATCTTCACTTACAGAAATAACACATCCCATCTGAGGCAAATTCTGTTCTTTTGAATGTGTATGACATCTTTCTAAGTAGCGATTGAGCAATAACAACCACCAACCTGGCTCAGTCAGCTTGGGTTTACTAGTGGCTTACTGCCAAGGCTTAAAAAGGTAACCCCGGGGAATGTGGGATTTCCCTCAATTTCTTCATGTTGTAACATTGAGAAAACATTGTCACTAGCTAAGGTGATAAATTGGAAAACGTCTTGTTAGGGTGGAAAAAGAAAGGTCCATGGTATGGATCATTATTTCAAAAAAAAAAATAAAAGAGAAAAAAATCATGTGAAAAGGAATAGTGGTTCCTCTTGATGTATAGTATGCCTGTATTATAGTTTTTACAAAATTGTGAACTTGTGTAATAGTATAATAGGAGATATTGTTGAATTTCTAACTGTTTATACATTTAAATTCATATATGTAATGTTTGTTTTATCAATTACAATCTGAATTTCTAAGAAGCATGTTGACTTTTGCAATAAAGATGCAATATGGAATGGTTCACAATTGGAAAAAAAGAAAGAAAAAAAGATAAAAGTTACAAATTTCAAAGAATTTGCAAAATTTATGAACCATTCCAAAAATTATAACAATCACCAAAAGAGCTGTAATTCTGGCTTGTTCTGGAAAGAAAGAAAATGTGTGTGTATGCTTGCTTGAGTGAGAATGAATGAGTAATGGATATGAATGTGTGTTTTATGTTGAGTTCATGTACATGGGAGAACGTCACTCAATCTGAATTTGGGTACCAAAATCACTGGCTATTAAATGTTCAGTAGAATAACTCCTTTGATAGGTAGAGTGGTCTTGGAAACAAAAGGGAAGGGCATTGAAGTGTTACAAGTAAACTTGATAACATATTTCTCTGTTCATGAATGGGTCTTGATATCACAGATAAAAGCACAAACTATTTTATAAAAGCAGTTATTTTAGTATTATCTTGAGGATATTCAAGATGCCAGCAAACAGTAGGAAGGATATTTCCCTTAAGCACAATAGAGAGAAAGGAAAGAACACCTTGAAGAGATGAACTAAAGATGACGATGGTAATTGTGATGGCTGTTTAGAGAGGAATAACAGGAGAAGGAGTGATCTTAATCAAGAGGACTGGGTGGTGATAGGAAAAGGAAGTATATCACTTGAACTCCCATTTCTTGTTTTAAAAACTGCTTTTTGTACACAATTCCCTCTGAATGTTTATTCATTGTCCAAGAAGAGTCGTTCTTCAAATCTCAGTTTATACAAGAAAATACTAAAGAATGGGAGTAAATTTCATTTTCCTTCTTTTCAAATAAACTTTTATCCATATTTTATGAATTAAGTAGCAAATAAGCTGTGTTACCATTTGTTTTGAATAGATTATAATTTATCCAATATATGTTCATAGTAAACATTAGTCTGAGGCTTTTGGGGGAGGGCAAGCATAATTCTGAACATAGTTATATTTGTTTAATAGTAACAAGTCAAACATTTTACTAAAATGGAGCTCTTATTAAACAAATTACTGGCTTTATGTGAAGTTTTTACTAATTTCAATGTAAATTATTCTAAAGCCAAGGATACATTTTGAATTGCAAACCCCATTGTAGTATCTAGGCTGGGTCTAGTTATGTTCCAATAAACATAAGACATGACTGTGTATGTCAGCCTATAGGATCATTTTAAGATGTGCCAGGTTTGCTTTAGACGAACCAAAATTTTGCAAGTCAGACCTGTCCATTTTGTATCACTTTCAGTCTTAGATCTATTTGAGGAGCCAACCAACACTGATTTAAAAAAAAAAACAAAACCTGCTTCTAATTGATGTGTTATGAATCACCTTCATTTATGCTAAATTGATTTACTGTCAAGTGATCTTTCTACAGGCTCATCTACCATTTATTTGGCCTCTCACCTGGTTCTGTAATCAACCTTAGGTTTACTAAACCATCCCAAAATCTCTGAGATAGGTGACTTGATACAGTGGAATTTAGGTCAGAATAGTGTTTGATGATTGTTTGCAGGATATTTGTGGTTTTAGTCTCCTCTTAGGCTTCTGCAAACAGATTTTTTTTTTTCAAATTTTTATATTGGGTTGTGGTAGTCAGGAAGCATAATAAACATTGTTACTTTTTCTTTGTCTTTATATTTTTCCTTTTATGAAAGAGGAGCAAAGGAAGAATGCCCTAGCCTAAGAGCCTATTAGTTGGTTCTCAATGGAAACTTGTATTACCTACAGCACTTCAGTTTTCTTATCACATCATAGAGTTCTATTACTTTGATATGTGACCCCTTAGTTCTTATAACAGTTGAGTTGGGGTAATGGTTAGTACTTGATTGTTCAGAATTTTTGCTCTTTACTCAAACCTTTCTTGGGGAGTAGGATTATGGGAATAAACCTTTTAATTACCTGGCTGCATGTCTGTTGATTTGAGTTTTCAACACTGCTTTGTGAAAACCTCA